TCCTCTCAGGACTGCCTTTGCTGTATCCCAAAGATTTTTTTTTTTAAAGATTTTATTTATTTATTTATTTGAGAGAGAGAGAGACTGAGAGAGAGCATGAGAGGCAGGAGGGTCAGAGGGAGAAGCAGACTCCCTGCTGAGCAGGGAGCCCGATGTGGGACTCGATCCCGGGACTCCAGGATCATGACCTGAGCCGAAGGCAGTCGCTTAACCAACTGAGCCACCCAGGCGCCCCCCAAAGATTTTGAACAGTTGTGTTCTCATTTTCATTGGTTTCCATGAACTTTTTTAATTCTTCTTTAATTTCTTGGTTGACCCATTCATTCTTTAGTAGGATGCTCTTTAGCCTCCATGTATTTGAGTTCTTTCCGACTTTCCTCTTGTGATTGAGTTCTATTTTCAAAGCATTGTGGTCTGAAAATATGCAGGGAATAATCCCAATCTTTTGGTACCGGTTGAGACCTGATTTGTGACCTAGGATGTGATCAATTCTGGAGAATGTTCCATGGGCACTAGAGAAGAATGTGTATTCTGTTGCTTTGGGATGGAATGTTCTGAATATGTCTGTGAAGTCCATTTGGTCCAGTGTTTCATTTAAAGTCTTTATTTCCTTGTTGATCTTTTGCTTAGATGATCTGTCCATTTCAGTTAGGGGGGGTGTTATAGTCCCCCACTGTTATTGTATTGTTGTCAATGTGTTTCTTTGCTTTTGTTATTAATTGCCTTATATAATTGGCTGCTCCACGTTAGGGGCATAGGTATTTACAATTGTTAGATCTTCTTGTTGGATAGACCCTTTAAGTAGGATATAGTGTCCTTCTTCATCTCTTATTACAGTCTATGTTTTAAAATCTAATTTGTCTGATATAAGGATTGCCACCCCAGCTTTCTTTTGGTGTCCATTAGCATGGTCAATGGTTTTCCACCCCCTCACTTTTTTTTTTTAAAGATTTTATTTATTTATTTGAGAGAGAGAATGAGAGAGAGAGAGAGCATGAGAGGGGAGAGGGTCAGAGGGAGAAGCAGACTCCCCGCTGAGCAGGGAGCCCCATGTGGGACTCGATCCCGGGACTCCTGGATCATGACCTGAGCCGAAGGCAGTTGCTTAACCAACTGAGCCACCCAGGCGCCCATCCACCCCCTCACTTTCAATCTGGGGGTGTCTTTGGGTCTAAAATGAGTCTCTTGCAGACAGCATATTGATGGGTCTTGTTTTTTAATCCAATCTGATAGCCTGTGTCTTTTGATTGGGGCATTGAGCCCATTTACATTCAGGGTAACTATTGAAAGGTATGAATTTAGTGCCATTGTATTGCCTGTAAGGTGACTGTTACTGTATATTGTCCGTGTTCTTTTCTGATCTATGCTGCTTTTAGGCTCTCTTTTTGCTTAGAGGACCTCTTTCAATATTTCTTGTAGGGCTGGTTTCGTGTTTGCGAATTCCTTTAGTTTTTGTTTGTCCTGGAAGCTTTTTATCTCTCCTTCTATTTTCAATGATAGCCTAGCTGGATATAGTATTCTTGGCTGCATATTTTTCTTGTTTAGTGCTCTGAAGATATCATGCCAGTCCTTTCTGGCCTGCCAGGTCTCTGTGGATAGGTCTGTTGCCAATCTAATGTTTGTACCATTGTAGGTTACATATCTCTTCTCCCGAGCTGCTTTCAGGATTTTCTCTTAGTCTCTGAGACTCGTAAGTTTTCCTATTAGATGTCGGGGTGTTGACCTATTTTTATTGATTTTGAGAGGGGTTCTCTGTGCCTCCTGGATTTTGATGCCTGTTTCCTTCCCCACATTAGGGAAATTCTCTGTTGTTATTTGCTCCAATATACCTTCTGCCCCTCTCTCTCTTTCTTCTTCTCCTGGGATCCCAATTATTCTAATGTTGTTTCGTCTTATCGTATCGCTTATCTCTCGAATTCTGCCCTCGTGATCCTGTAGTTGTTTATCTCTCTTTTTCTCAGTCTCTTTATTTTCCATCATTTGGTCTTCTATATCACTGATTCTTTCTTCTGCCTTATTTATCCTAGCAGTTAGTGCCCCCATTTTTGATTGCACCTTATTAATAGCCTTTTTGATTTCGACTTGGTTAGATTTTAGTTCTTTTATTTCTCCAGAAAGGGTTTCTCTAATAACTTCCACACTTTTTTCAAGCCCAGCTAGTATCTTTAAAGTCATGATTCTGAACTCTAGGTCCAACATCGTACTAATGTCAGTATTGAGTAGGTCCCTGGCAGACGGTACTACCTCTTGTTCTTTTTGCTGAGGTGATTTTTTTCATCTTGTCATTTTGTCCAGAGGAGAACAGATGAATGAGAGAACAGAATGCTAACAGGTTAACAACATCTCCCGCAAATATGCTCTATACAAATCAGAAAAGACCTGAAACCAGGGGACAAGAAAGGGAAAGAAAGAAGAGAGGGAAAAAAAAAAAGGAAAAAGAAAAAGATAAAAACAAACAAAAACAGAAGAAAACAAAAAAAAAAAAGAATATGATCAAATATGATCAGGGTAGTGCATAGATCAGTGCCGCACACTAGCTTTTGGGCATATTTTGGTCTGTTAGAAGAAAGTGCCTGCTAAAATTTTAAAGGAAGAAAGACATATATGTACAAAATAAGGGTTGATACAATGAAGGGATGGCAGATGACTGTAAAGATGAAAATTATGAAAGATTTTATAAAAGGAATTGATAAGTTGTTTTTTAAAAAGAAGGAAGAAGATTTAAAAAGAATAAGAAAAAAGAAAAAAAAGAAAAAAAAAAGGGAGACAATGTGATCAGGCAGGAGAATAGAACAAAGCCATACACTAGTGATTTAGGGTATATTTTGATCTGTTAGAAGAAATTGTATCTCAAAATTTTAAAGAGAGAACAACTTATATATATATGCCAAAAATAGGGTAACTACTATGAAGGGATAAAAATAGACTCTAAAAATGAAAAATAAAAAATGTTTTTTTTAAAAAGGGATTGATAAGATGTTGTTTGAAAAAGGGAAAAAGAAAAATTAAAAAAAAACAGTTAAAAATTAACTTTGAAAAACTAATGAATTATGGTAAAAAAGCCATGAATTCTATGTGCAGTATTCCCCTAGCGCTGGAGTTCTCCCGTTCTCCTTGATCGGTAAACTTGGTCTTGGCTTGCTGGCTGTTCGTGCAGATCTTCTGGGGGAGGGGCCTGTTGCCGTGGTTCCCAAATGTCTTTGCCGGAGGCGGAATTGCCCCGCTCTTGTGAGTCCGGGCTGGGCAAGCTGTTCCGGTTTGCTCTCAGGAGCTTTTGTTCCCTGCAAGCTCTCGGTACAACTTTGGAGGACCAGGGTGAAAATGGTGGCCTCCCAATCTCCGCCCGGAGGAGCTGAGAACTCGGGGCCCCGCTCCTCAGTGCGCCCCCAGAGAATAGCAGTCACTCCCATCTCCCTGGTCTCCGGCCGCACTGCGTGCTCACCCGGCCTGTGACCGAGCGTTGCTATCTCTGGCACTCGACCCCGTGTGGAGTCTCCAAACCCAGCAGATCCCTGTGGTGCGTTCCCGCGCCGCTCCTCCCGGGGGAAGAAGGGGAGTCTCCCCGGATCTGCCGCTTGTTGGGTCCCTGCTGGAGGAGCAGGGCCCAACTGGGCCACGGATCACAGTTTATGGCAACCCCGAGCTGAGAGCCCACTCCTCGGCTCCGTCTCTACAGCCGGCTTCCCCGCTCCGATACCTGAGAGCTCTGCCGCACTCAGGCACCCCCAGTCTTTCTGTGACCCTGAGGGTCCTGAGATCACACTGTCCCACGAGGGTTCTTCCCCCCACTTAGCCACTGGAGCGACGTCCCTCAGTGGAGCCGACTTCTAAAAGGTCCGATTTTGTGCTCCGCGGCTCCACCACTTGCCAGAAGCGGCCGATGGAGGCCCCCTCCCCCGCCGTCTATCCTCCCGAATATCGCCTCAGATTCACTTCTCCGCACGTCCTACCTTCCAGAAAGTGGTCGCTTTTCTGTTCAGAGTGTTGTTACTGTTCTTATCTTCGATCTCCTGTTGAGTTCGTAGGTGTTCAGAATGGTTTGATCCCTATTCAGCTGAATTCCTGAGACCAGACGAAATCCAGGTCTCCTACTCCTCCGCCATCTTGCCACACCCCCTATAGTCGATTTCATTCCCTTTGTCCATAGTTCACTGAATCGGCTTGTAAAGGCTCTGGTAACTCAACAAGGCCTCTGTAGCTTCTGCAGATGCTTCAAGACTCAAAGCAGAAAAAAATAGAGAAAGTTCTGGGCTTATGTCAATTCAGTCTGAAGGCTGGAGGAGGATTTTGGGGGACCACTCTCCTACTCAGAAAACACTCTGGAACAAGTTATTCCTTTTCAGTAGATAAGGTTTTTTTTTTTTAATTATGTGATACACATTTTTAAAGATTTTATTTGAGAGAACATGAGTGAGGGGAGGGGCAGAGAGAGAGGGAAAAGCAGACTCCCCATTGAGCAGGGAGCCTGATGTGAGGCTCGATCCCAGGACTCCGGGACCATGATCTGAGCTGAGGGCAGATGCTCAAACAACTGAGCCACCCAGGCACCCCGAGATGACTTGAATTTTAAAGAATCTTTCCAAATACGATGGCAGAGGTGCAGCCAGTGGTCTAAGCTCCTCTCATAGTTGGCAATTCTAATGGAGGCTGTAGGTGGTAGGGTGCTTCTTTCCTTTGCCTCTTCTAGGAAGAAATTCGTGGGAAGTTGTAACTGGCCCACCTTGGATTCATACTTTTCCTCAACTGATCATGGTAGCCAGAGAAGTGGAGAAACTCTATGTAGAAATCGAATTGGCCAGGTCCAGCCCCAGGATAAAGGAGTAGGGAGGGGATGGAACAGGATTCTTAGCTTCCTCAACTGGACCACAGGGATTGGGAATAGGAAAGTGATGTTTCCTCAAGGAGAAGCTAGACAAACCAAGATCCCAGGTCTGCGATGCCTACCAAGAAGCTTTGCACACTTAGCCACTTTAGCCTCCAACCACCCCACTGTTTTCCAGGTGATCGTTCAGCGGTCTCTGGCTGCCAGGAACCTGTCCCATGCCAAAGGAGGCTCTCTGATGGCTGCCTACCTGAAGGTGCTGCCTCTTTTCATGATGGTGTTCCCTGGAATGGTCAGTCGTGTCCTCTTCCCAGGTGAGTAGACAGTGGGGAGAAGAGATCATCTGTCTTTGAGTCGCAGACCCTATGAAGTGTTCTAAACATATGACTGCCATCAGATATTGGGACTGGAGTCCCTGCAGAGTGATTTGGCTGAGGCATCTCTATCCAGACATCTGACTCTATCCTGTTTCCTAACAGGGCTTCAACAGGAATGTCTAGTAGATGTCCCAGGCCAGTACAGGGGAGACCTATTTGGGGCCTTGCCTCAAAAGAATTTTTTTTTGAAGCCACAAACTACAGGCTAAGATCTTGTGGTTCCAGATGTCAGTTTCTTAAAGACTAATGTGAGAGTTCCTGTTGTACTTTTTAGTATTTCAGCTCAATGGTTTGGTTAGTTTGGCCCAGTGTAACCCCTTTGGGGGTACATAACAAAAACCAGGGGTGTCAAAGCCTCTAGAATATTTGCCTTAGATTTTTTTTTAAATGTGGTAAAGTGATGAGATTTGCACTGTGTGGATAAACAGGACTGGGGGAGGGTGTCATTGGGAGTCACCATGATGTCAGGAACTGCTGATCTGTAGGGAAGAGAGCTCCTCTTTTTCCGAATCACTGAGCTTTCCTCCTGTACCCACCAAGGCTGTTATTAACTCAAAGGGGAGGGTAAGGTAGGTAGAGAGCTCCCTCCCCTGCATTTTATCCTACACAGTGTCATGCACAGGTAAAGAAAGGGTAGGATGGCCTAGAAGTTTTGTCTAAATAATTTAGGACAATAAGCCTTAGGAGCAAAAAGCTGGGCAAGGAAGGGGGCGGGGGGGGGGGGGGGCTCTCCGTGGTGCTAGACTCTGGGCTTCCCGCTCCTCCAGCGCAGAGGGCATGAAGAACCTAGTCACTGGTCCTGGTTCCAGGGAAGGTGCACAAGACTTGGGAAAAGCCAGGTCAGAGTAAGACCTGGGATTTGGGATTTGTGGTGACTTGATGGAAAATACACAGCTTTTGGGTAAGGCTTGACATATGAACAAAGAACATAGCTTTAAACAACCTACGTTCATCATGCTAAGAGTCTTACAGAGAGTGTGGTCTTTCTGAATATGGACTCTGATTTGAATGTTGCAGCCAGAATCCTGGCTCTGCCACTTCCTAGCGGTGTGACCTTGGAAAGCCACTTGCCTCTGTTCCCTCACTCATAAAATGGGGATAATCCTTCATGAGGCTTAAAGCAGTTCTCGGCACGAGGTAAGCACTATAGAAGTGTTTACTCTTATTTTATGTATTATCTCATTTATTCCTCAAAACAGCCTTATGACGTAGGTATTGTTAGGGCTCTTTACTTTTCTTTTTTTTTTAAGATTTTATTTATTTATTTGAGAGAGAGAGAATGAGAGACAGAGAGCACAAGAGGGAAGAGGGTCAGAGGGAGAAGCAGACTCCCTGCTGAGCAGGGAGCCTGATGTGGGACTCGATCCTGGGACTCCAGGATCATGACCTGAGCCGAAGGCAGTCGCTTAACCAACTGAGCCACCCAGGTGCCCCTAGGGCTCTTTTCATTTACAGATGAAGAAACTGAAGCTCATCCACTCATTTATTCTTTCATGTGTCCATCAAAGATTCTGAGAGCCAATGATCTGCCAGGCCTTATTCTGGGAGACCCTGGGGATCCATAAGTGAACAAGACAAACAGTATCCCTGCCATTGGTGGGGCTCACATTCTAGTGGTGGAGGAGACACACAAGAGATAAGGAAATAAGTAAATGAGACATTCATTGATTATGTTGAGAGCTGTGAGCCATTCGTTGTGTTGAGAGCTGTGAGTAAAAGGCACAGGGAGACATCAGGGAATGCTTGGTGGGGTTTCTTTTGATAGGGTTTCCAGGGATGGCCTCTGTGAGGAGGACGAGGCAACAGTTGATCCATATGGGTCATTTTTTTTCTTTTTTGGGGGGAAGGGCAGAGGGAGAGAGAGACAGAGAGAGAATCTTAAGCAGGCTCCATGCCCAGCACAGAGCCTGATGTGGGGCTCAATCTCACGACCCTGAGATCTGAGACCTAAGCTGAAATCAGAGTCAGACACCTAAACAACTGAGCCACCCAAGCACCCTGGGTGGTTTCAAAATACGTTTCAGAGTGGATCCAAGAAGATTAATGATGGGTTGGATGTGGTGCATAAGGAAGAGCAATCTAGACCCCTTCCTAGGTTAAGTAACTTGCTAGAAATTAACCTGGCTAGTGCTGTGTGAGCTGGAATTGGAACCCGGGTGCATCTGCCTCCAAAGCCCAGCTCTTAATGATGGTATTGTCTCTCTTAGCAAATTACATTTCAAGCTTTGGGTCAGTGTCTGGAAGATCAATAGCAAGACCTTGACCATCATTCTTAACAGCCAACAATCATGTCAATCAACAATCATGATTAAGTGAAACATAATGCTATGCTCTATGTCCCTAAGGACTTTTTAATGTAACAGATGAGTATGGTACTCATGAAAAAGCAAGATAAGATATAAATCAAAACACTCTAGCATATGGTACTAACAATAAGCAAAAGGAATTTGAGAGTGAAGTAGGGTGGAGAGGGTGAGGTGGGCATGGTGTGTTGGAAGGCCTGGACAAGTGTTTCTCAAAGTGTGGTTCCCAGTCCAATAGCATCAATGTCACCTTGGAACTTGTTAGAAATGCTAAGCCAAGATGTCTTTCAATGGATGAATGGATAAAGAAGATGTGGTTCATATATACAAAGGACTATTACTCAGCCATCAGAAAGGATGAATATCTACCATTTACATCAACATGGTTGGAACTAGAGGGTATTATGATAAGTGAAATAAGTCAATCAGAAAAACATAATTATATGGTTTCACTCATATGTGGAACATAAGGAATAGTGCAGAGGACACAAGAGGTAGTGGTGGGAAATTGAATGGGAAGAAATCAGAGAGGGAGACAAACCATATGAGACTCTTGACTCCAGGAAACAAACTGAGGGTTGCAGAAAGGGAGGTGGGTGGGGGGATGGGGTAACTGGGTGATGGGCATTAAAGAGGGCACATGATATGATGAGCACTGGGTGTTACACTGAATTGATGAATCACTGAACATTATATCAAAAACCAATGATGTATTATACCTTGGCTAATTGAATTTAAATTAAAAAAAAGAAATGCAAACTTTCAGGCCTTGTCCAAGACCTGCTGAATCAGAATCTCTTGAGGTTGAGGCCCAGCAATTTAATAAGCTCCCCCCCAAAATTGAGAAGCCCTTGCCTAAAGTGCCAGGCTCCAGGCCAAGCCACTCTACCTTCCTGTTTCCATGTCTCCCTCTATGTCTGCTCTGCCAGTTCCCCCTGAATCTTCAGTTGGGTCCAAAACCACCCAAAAGGATGCTCCAATATTGAGCTATAATGAGCCTGGACAACACCTTCCGCTTATCCATCTGATAAATGGTACGCACTTTGAAAGGACTCATAGTGGAAATTAAAAGAGAAGCAAAACCACCCCCCAAAACAGTAAAACACAAGTCTAGAAATGTACCCATTTATAAACCCAATCATCCCCACCTGAGCTCTGGAATACCTTAAGGGTATGAGACCTATTCATGATATTTACTAGCTGTTTGATTTGGGGAAGCCTTTCCACCTTTCTGGGCCTCAATTTACTTATCCTTACAATAGGTGTAATAACCACATCTTCCCCATGGAGTTGTGAAGAATACAGTGAGAATTGTATTGAATTGAATGTTAGCATTTGGAAATAGGAGATTTTGTGTTGTTTGGATCTGACCTTGCCAGAAGCATCCTTTTTTTTTTTTTTTAAGATTTTATTTATTTATTTGACAGAGAGAGACACAGCGAGAGAGGGAACACAAGCAGGGGGAGTGGGAGGGGGAGAAGCAGGTTTCCCGCGGAGCAGGGAGCCTGATGTGGGGCTCAATCCCAGGACCCTGGGACCATGACCTGAGCTGAAGGCAGACGCTTAATGACTGAGCCACCCAGGCGCCCCCAGAAGCATCATTTATGTCAACTATCAGAGGGCCTGATAAGAGAACCCACACCATATATGAAATGGTTGATTAATTAGCCCAAGATAGGTAGGTGGTTGTTACTCAATGGTGGGTTAATGATCCATAAGGCTGTTGGTTTCAGTTGTAGCTTAGCCAACTGATATCCTAGGATGAATATATATATATATATTTTTTAAAGTAAGCTCCATGCCCAGCATGGAGCCCAATATGGGGCTTGAACTCATGACCTTGAGATCAAGATCTGAGCTGACATCAGGAGTTGGATGCTTAACCAACTGAGCCACCCAGGCTCCCCGGATGAAGCCGAACAGACAAGGACAACTGCCACAAACATGCTTTGTAAACTGTGTCTGTCACGTTTCATGGTTGAAAAGTGCATGTCTGGAAGGTTAAACAACCTAAGGTTAACAACCAAAGGTTAAACTATGTAGTTAATTAAATATCCCAGGGAGAGTCTTGCTCCATCTCAGTGTACCTTGAAGAGAGGAGCTTTTGGGGGTGCCTGGGTGGCTCAGCTGGTTGGGCTACTGACTCTTGGTTTTAGGTCGTGGTCTCAGGGTCCTGGGCTCAAGCTCTCTCTCTTCCTTTCTCCCTAAAGTAAATAAATCTTTAAAAAGAGAGAGAGAGGGCGCCTGGGTGGCTCAGTTGGTTAAGCGACTGCCTTCAGCTCAGGTTATGATCCTGGAGTCCCAGGATCGAGTCCCGCATCGGGCTCCTTGCTCAGCAGGGAGTCTGCTTCTCCCTCTGACCCTCCCCCGTCTCATGCTCTCTCTCTCTCTCTCATTCTTTCTCTCAAATAAATAAATAAAATTAAAAAAAATAAATAAATAAAAAGAGAGAGAGAGGAGCTCTTGGACAAAAAGAGGTAAAGTCCATATGATCTGAATGTGAATAAGACCTTTGCCTGACCTGGGAGGCTCCTTACAACATTCTGGGCATGGGAATGAAACTATTTCCTTATCTTCTTTTAAGACTTCTCAGAAGAATCATAAAAAGCCAAGAACTTTGACCTGTCAAAAGCATTTTTCTCAAGATTTGTTTCTGCTCAGGACTTCTCTTCAAATATCACTTTTGGTCTACAGTCTTAATTTTGTCTAAGGCTTGAACCAGAGCTTTGGAGGCATCTACTTCTATTCGGTAGCAATTGTATTATTAATTGTGGCCACAACACCCATTGGTGTATGTTCGTGAGTCGAAGGGTCTCAGCCTTTGAGAAGACATAATAATGTGTGGAGAAATTTTATGAAGACCAGTTTGCCCTTGGACTTCCCAGTGGATGAAAGGGCCTAGGGCTATATCCATTTCTTAGGTCTTACATTACATTAAAAAGAAAATGAAGATAGAACAATACTGCATTTTAAAATTGTGGTGTCCTTTAAGTGGTTATATTTATTAAATTAGCAGTTTCAATGCAGGTAAAAATATAGAGACTAAGTGTACAACCTCATCTGGAGATACTGTCAAACATCTACACTTGGGGTCTCAGTTAAGTGGTCATCATGACCTTGATAATGCACTGGAACCAGGCAGGAAATTGGCATGAGCAGGGGAGGGCTTCACGTTCACTTGTAAACTGAGGTTCGAGATGGGCGGACAGGCAGCCCATCACCCTTCAAAATGAGAAGCAAGGACTGAAGACTTTGGATTGAGCAGAGGGGGCTCAGGAGGGATTTACGGGAGTTATTTCTCAGTCCACCTGGTGAAGGAGACTTGAGAGGTAGTAAGTGGCCCAGCTGGGGTGAGTGGTGTTGGGTAGGCATTGGGGCATTGGTGAGGAGCATTGGTTAACTCAGATGTCAGGAGCTGAGGAAGTCAGAAGGCGACAAGAAAGGTATCCTTCAGACGCAGGTGTCAAACCATTGAGACCATACAGAGTTCTGAAGGTCCCAGTGGCCAGGACTAAGTCTTGGGTAGGGTGCCTGCCAGACTCATTACAGACAGAAAAGCATATACTCTCTTGGTCTTCCTTCTCTGAAAAATTGGATTTCAAGTCAGGAGACCTGGGTTTCAGTTCTGCCTCTGGCATGACCTTGCTGGGTGTTTATACTCAGGTCCCTCGCCCTGATTCTTTATCTGTGAAACGGTGGAAGTAAGCACTGTGATAGCTAGCTCTGTTCCACAGAAATTTGTTGAGCTCCTGCTCTGCCTCATGCTCTGGACTCCAAGCAGGAGTATGGACGTGTATGCTTGGGGCGTGTTCATCGTCATACTAGGAAGAGATGACGAACTGCAGATGCCAGGAAGCCTGGGTGGCTTTACACCAGAAAATCAGAATGCTGCTCAGGAGAGCAAAGACCCGACACAGAAATGCAGGAAGAGGGGGAGAGAGATACTCAGCTAGCACAGCTGGGTTGTTAGGAGCCTAATACGAGAACAGCTCTTGAGGAGCTGGGGAAAAAGAGGGATTTGGAAAATATTTGCCCTGTGTGGGGCAATGGCATTCTCCTGTGCATCCCCAAGGAACTGTAGGCAAGATATGAATTGCCTGTGTCCCCATTTCGGGGGGTCCGGGGGATGCAGCCTGATGGGGGACGCTGTGGAGAATGGCCGCTAGGTGTCTCAGTTTTATTTGGGTGAGAGTAATAACAGCCGAAGTGCATTCAGTGCTTCCTACATATCAGTTTCTGGGCCAAGCACATTACGTCTGTCATCTCGGCCAACCCTCATGATAATCGTACAAAGTAGACTTACATTACTGTCCCAATTTTACAGATAGGGCAAGGTTAAGTAAGAAGGTCGTGGTTTATAAAATCTAGGCTCCTTTTTTTTTTCACTGAGCTATACAGGTAGAGAGAGTCATCCTGTCTCCTGGTATGGGCCTACGTCAGGCCATGCTAGTGGCTCGGTCTGGGCTCAGAGGGTCTGTCTGCTCACCCTGGGCCTTGTTTTTTCCACAGATCAAGTGGCTTGTGCAGATCCAGAAACCTGCCTGAAGGTCTGTAGCAACCCCTCTGGCTGCTCCGACATCGCATATCCCAAACTGGTGCTGGAACTCCTGCCCACAGGTAATGTCCACTCATCCCTAAATGGAGCCCCCGTGGCGCTCCCGGAAGGGAAGACCTTGGCCAGGCCCTGGTCTGAGGGAGGGACAGGATGGGAGGGCCGCAGGAGGGAGTGCACTCTGGGCTGAGGGACTGAGCCCCAGAGCCAGGGCACTCAAATAAAACCCAGGTCCTTCCTATGCCCCTGCTGCAGCCCCTGTCCCTCCTCATGGGTCCCACCCCTGAGTTCTGCTTCCTCCCGGTGGCACCTACTGAGATCAGCTGGTGCTGTGGGCCCGGGCTAATGGGGTCATGAGTGGAGGCAGCAGCAGTTAGCAGGAAAAGCCTGAGGCCCATAGACCTCCCTCTCGCCCCCAGGGCTCCGTGGGCTCATGACGGCTGTGATGATGGCGGCGCTCATGTCCTCCCTCACCTCCGTCTTTAATAGCGCCAGCACCGTCTTCACCATGGACCTCTGGGATTACATCCGGCCTCAGGCGTCAGAGAAGGAGCTCATGATTGTAGGCAGGTAAGGTTGTACTCAGTGGGCCTGGGGAAGGAGAGTGAAAAGTTTAGAAACCCAGGGAGGAGAAAGCTGAGCCCGCCCAGGGGCAAAGCCCGACCAGCCACTCATCCTGGAGGCTCAGCCTCTTCTGATGGCAAAGGTGACGTTCCTTAAAACTCTGTATGAATAAATCACTCATTCAAGAGATGTTTGCTGAGCACCGACTATGTGCCGGGTGGCTGGACGCAGAGCAGGGAAAAGCAAAGATTCAGTTTCTGCTTTCACAAAGCTAAAGAGAAGATGATTAAAGAGAGAGGATAATTAAAAAGAAATCACAACCCCAGTGAGTGCTATGAGGAGGAGCCAGGAGATGTAGGGATTCAGAGGAGTCCCTAGCCTCGACTGGGTGAGACCTGAGGGATGAATAGGAGTTAGCCAGGTAAAAGGGAGGAAGGGGCTCTGGGGCCTGGGCCGGGGTGGGGGGGTGGGGAAGCTTTCCCTACTAAGGCTTCTGTAAGGTCCTGAAATCTAGTGGGGGGGAACAGAAGGGACCAAAATGGACAGTATGCGAATCTTATGTAAAATACATGCTAATAAGCATCTTGGGGCCCCGAGGGCTATCTTAGCTTTTGGTTAGGGAAAGAGTTCTTAGGTCTGACACTGAGAACATAACCCATAAAAGAAAAAAAGAAACAAAACAAATACGTTAGACTTCATCTAAAGCTAAAACTTTTTCATTTCAAAAGACACTATTAAGGAAATGAGAAGACAAGCCACAGATAAGGAGAAACTATTTGCAAGTCATGTAGTTGGCAAAGGACTTTTGGTCTAGAATGATCTGCAAAATGAGATCATAACCCTAGAAAACTATAGGGAGATACCATGACGCGCTCACTAAAATGGCTATAATCAGAAAGACAGAGGGACGCCTGGGTGGCTCAGTCAGTTAAGCGTCTGCCTGCCACTCCCTCTGCTGTGCTCTTTCTGTCTCTGATGAATAAGTAAAATCTGAAAGAAAGAAAGACAGACCGACAAGGAGATAGAGAAGTTGGAACTTTCTTAACACTGCCGGTGGGAATGTAAAATGGTTCAACTGTTCAAAACAGTTTGGCAGTTTTTTAAAAAAATTAAACATACAACTTATCATATGACCGAGTAGTTGCATTCCCAGAAATGAAAACATACCCAGAAATGAAAACATAACGTCTACATAAAGATTGCATTCCCAGAAATACATAAAGACGCGAACACAAATATTCACTTAGCAGCTTTTGTTTACAAGAGTGGAAAAATAGAAAAAACTCAAGTGTCCACTGACCACCGCAGGATAAACAGTGGCATGTCTTGGTAGATCCATTCAATGGAATATTTTTCAACAAAAAGAATGACATACTGTGATCATGCACGATGCATGGATGAACCTCAGAAGCATGCTACGTGAAGGAAACTGCTGCCAAAGACCCCATGCTGTTTTTGAATCCTATTTCTGTGCAATGTCCAGAAAAGGCAAACCCATAGAAACGGGAGCAAATAAGGAATAAATTGTAAATGGGCGCGAAGGAACTTGTTTGGAGTAATGGACTTGTAAAACTTGATTGCATCGCCCAGAGTTACAGGATTGTACTCTTAGAATGGGTGAATCTTGTGGTATGTAAATTCTACCTCAATAAAACTGTAACAGAGAAAGAGCAGTAAGTGTTCCTGGGGAAGACATGCTAATGAGGGGCTCTCTCCGCCTGGCACTAGGGTGTTCGTGTTGCTGCTGGTGCTGGTCTCCATCCTCTGGATGCCCGTGGTCCAGGCCAGCCAGGGAGGCCAGCTCTTCATTTACATCCAGTCCATCAGCTCCTACCTGCAGCCACCCGTGGCCGTGGTCTTCATCATGGGATGCTTCTGGAAATGGACCAATGAAAAGGTAGCTCAGCACCCATGAAGATGTCTTAGTGACATTGGTGGCATTCTGGAGGATGAGTTCTGGGGACGGAGGTGTGGGGAAGGGGCCACCTGGCCTTTGAAGAGCAACCATGGGGGTTCTGTTTCGATGCATTGTGTCATGAAACAGGAAGCTAAGTTCACAAGGAATGAGTGAATTATTCATGAGTGATTAGTTATGTGTGAAAGATAAACAGATAAGTAGCTGCAATCCTTTTCAAATTACTGACGCCTGCATCGACCGTCCCTAGAAAGGCAGGCTCTTGAAAATGGCTCATCGAGGTCTGCAGAGGCTCAGGCTGCCCCGTAACCCTGGACGTCTCTAAGATGGCCTTGCTCTGATTTGCAGGGGGCCTTCTCAGGTCTGATCTTGGGCCTTCTCCTAGGCTTGATTCGGTTGGTCCTGGACTTCATTTACCCGCAGCCTCGGTGTGACCAGCCAGATGACCGCCCCACCGTGGTGAAGGATGTTCATTACCTGTATTTCTCCATGATTCTGTCTGCAGTGACTCTGATCTCGGTGTCCATCGTGAGCTGGTTCACAGAGTCGCCCTCCAAGGAGATGGTACCTTTGGGTTTGATACCATATAACCACTGAGATCCTTGGCCGCGAGTGACAGAAAACTGACCCAAACTGGCCTCAGCGAAGATGGTTTGATTGTTCAAGAAGCTGGGACATCCAGGGTTGGGCTTTAGGGACAGCTTGATTTGGGATGGAAGACCATCCGAATCCATCCTTCATTTCCGCCCCAATTTTCAGGCGCCGTGTGGGGCTGGCAGTTTCCAGGGATTTTATCTTTTCTCATGCTCATCAAGCAAAAGCAGAAACACGTTTGTCCCAGCATTTCTGGCAGAGTTCCTAATTCCCATCGATGCAGTCAGCTCAACACATGTTTACCCATGAACCAGTTCAGTTTCTGTGGCTAGAGAAATGCACGTGCTGAATGGCTGATGGGGGGGGTCCCCCCAAAAGCCCCAGGTTAAGCTCTGGGGGGCCAGAATGAAGGAGGGTGAGATCCCAACAGAATTAGGGCTGCCGAAGAAAGCCAGGGGAATCGTGGGGGAAATGTCCATTGATTCTTCAGAGGGCAGGGAGCTGGAACTTGTTGGAGGTGCAGTGATGAGGGGGCATTCTCACATGTGAGGCGGAACATGGGTTCGAGCAGGGGACCCTAATCTGATCCATTCTGCTCCTTAGGTAAGCCGCCTGACCTGGTTTACTCGTCATGACCCCATGGTCCAGAAGGAACAGGTACCACCAGCAACTCCCCAGACTCTTACCATCTCTCCGAATGGGACACCAGAGGCCAGCATCACCAACATCCAGTTGGAGATTGTTCAGGAAAACAGAGCCAAACCCCACTGCTGTGAGTTGCCTCTCCTCGGTTACAGTAGAAGCCCAAGGAGCATTAGGTGTTTAAGGGGAGATTTTTCTACCAAATCACCAGCCAGAAGGGGGGTGTCCTTGGAATGTTAGCATCCCCTGGCCCCCAGTATCTGTTCTAACTTTCAGCAGATGCTCAGTGGGGAGCAATAACAACAAACGCATGTTGAGTGCTTGCTAAAACATGGCTCACTCACTCCCCATGAAATCTCACCAGGTAGGCTGGAATACTATTGGCTTTCTCTAAATTGCTGGTTTCAAATTGGCAGCTTGCAGACATACTGTGGTATAGTCCACCTACCATTTTAATAAAAGGTGAGTTAACATTGAAAAATCAGGAGGTTTCACATAAAATTCCAGATTTCCATCTCCTTTTGAAACGTGGGAAGATGTAACAACACTGGGCCCCCATGTCTGCATGACTCACGTTGTCCGGAGCTTGGAAAGCAGGCCCTTCAGACCTGGGCTGTGCCCTTCAGTGAGCCAAGGTCCCCACCCACCCCTATTTCCCCATGACCCTGCGGCCGTGGGCTGTCAATTTACCATCACACGTGGCCCTTTACATCTATCAGTATACATGTACATACACGTAAAAACGTTCTGTGGCTTTGTATCCATGTCAACCTAACGAGATAGATCCAGAAGACCGTGTGTTTCAATAAAAATGAGAGAATCTTTCCTGGTTCATATTTTGACAAGTTTAATAAGCAAGGTGGCTCCCCCTGACCATGTGCCTGGTTCTAAAGGCCGTGGAGCTTGCAGCCCCAGCTTCAAATGGGGAAAGAGTTTCCCACAAGAGTGCCCTTCTCGGCCTTGGGCCTTCTGGCAGGCAATGTGATAGAGAGGAGGGAGTCAGACAGATTTGACTTCTAAACCCACCCCTGCCACTGCTTACCCACATGGCCTCACCCAAGTCAGTCAAGTGAGGCTCTGTCTCTTCATCTGAAAGTGATGACAAGTCTGAAAATACCACTCTTCCAGATTAGGTATTCATGAATACTTTCCAGAAAAGGTACGGAAAATACTTCTCACGGGGCATGGAACACAGCTGGTCGGCCCCTCTGCTCCCTTCTCTGGGAGACACAGCCCACATCCTCATGACCTTCCTTTGGGTTCTTTTAGGTGACACGACCCCAAAGCGGTCCAAAGTGATGCGAGCCATCTTGTGGCTCTGTGGAATGGAGAGCCTGGATAAGGAGCCCCCGTGCAAAGCGGAACCTGTCATAGTTTCCTTGGAAGAAAACCCCCTCGTGAAAACCCTTCTGGACATCAATCTCATCATCTGCGTTAGCTGTGCCATCTTTCTCTGGGGCTACTTTGCTTAACGTGGGGGGTGAGCCCAGGGGTCCAGTCTGTTGTCCGCGCCCTGTTTTTGTAATGAAAGGAAATAAATAATAAAGCTTCGTTTGTTTACCGTGAGGCTTCAAAGGAGTTCATGGGCCATTTTCAACGTGACATTTAGCTCTTTTCTTCTTAAAAGGGAATGGAGGGTAGAAGGTAGGGGAGAAAAGAAGTGTCAAAGCTGCCTCTTCTCAAAAGGCTATTCACTCTTCTTGTCTATTGCGTGACACCAAGGGCGAAATTCAAACAGATAAACAAGTGAAGAGACCTGCCAGACCCCCCAGCCTGGCAGCAGCCCCATCTCCAGGGCCGAGCACTAGCATTCGGACTTTGCCCGGCTCACGTTCAAAGCGCAAGGAATGGGACCCGCAGGCCACCGCTTGCCTCCACTCCTGCTGGCTTTGGGTGAAGGAATAGCTGGTCCCCAGAGCTTTCTTTGCTGTGACACTTGCTTTTCCATATGATCTCTGGGAAGTAGACCAGAGGGGACGCCCTGGAATCTTGTACTTTAAGAAAATCGGGAAATGTGTGCACTTCCCAAGTGCTGGCATTGACTCTCTTTCTCTGCTTAATTCCCATAAGGCTGCTTCCCCTCAAACAAGCGGCCAGAAGGATGGGCAACCCCACAGCAAATCTCTACTGGCCGAGGGGCAGTGGGGCTTTGGACCTGAAGAGCAGCCACCCCCTGTTCCCAGCCATCTTCCTTTCTGTGTTCTGGGCTCTGCTGGGGTCTGCCAGAATGACCCACACAGGCTGTTTGCCGCGTGCACAGCTAAGATCAAGGGCAGGCCCACAGAGCCAGCCCTGACGCCATCTCTGGGGGAGGCCAGTGCCTCGAGTCGTGATTCTGGTCCTGGGATAAAGGGAGCTGGGGCGGACTGGAACCACTTATTGGCATAACAGAACTCGGAACTCTGTTCTCAGAGCAGTCTCTCCAGGGACCCCGATTTCCACACCTGAAAGGAATACGGACAGGAAACCCTGAGGCTGAAGAGCCACTGGCTTCACTTAGTCACCCAGTGTGTCTCTGGAGTCCCTGCTGGTTGCTCTCAGGACCTGGGGCCAGCCTTGTCAGAGGCCTGGCTCTGCCACATTGGTCCCGAGGTCAGCGGTGGGTCTGGCGAAGGCACATCCCTGCCTTTGTGGGGAGCCGTTCGCTAACGTGGCTACTCTCCAGACCCTCAGGAACTGGCCCCTGACCGGAGCCTGGGACGGTGTGCAGCAAGTGGGCTTCAGGGGGAGGCTAAGTGTTCCTTCCCAAGGGCCCGAGGAGGGGAGGGGAGGCCCAGCAGGCTCTGCTGGGGTCCTAAGCTCCTTCCCCACGTGGCCCCCCAGCCAAGCCACAGAAACCTCTGCTGCCACTGGTGGGGGTTGGAAGTGCGTCTCAGTGGGAGCCATCACAACGGACACGCAGGCTGATGCCACCTCTCCCCCGGGTCACTGTCACAGCCTCCCGACTGCTGGCCTTCCTGCCTCCAGTGTTGCTCATTGTGCAGCCACAGGCAAACAGAGTGAATCCGACTGCGCCACTCTTCTGCCTAGAATCCTTCAGTGACTCTCCCAAGCTCCCGGGATGAAGCCCACATGCCCTGATGGGAATTACCCCTCATGGCCAGGCCCCTCTCTGGCTTTGACTCTGATCACTCTCCCCTTGTCACTTGGCCGTGCCAGATCTTTCCTTGTCCCCAGTGCTGCCACTACGACATTCCAAAGTGGAGGCTTAGAAACATCCACCAGTGAGCTGCTACCCCATGTGATGCAATAGACTGTGAGTCACAGATGTCACTTGGTGCCCCGGAATGAAGAGATGGCAGAACAGGGTCTACGGGAAGAGAGGGAAGGCTCTGGAATATGGTCACAGACCGCCAGGGCCATGGTGCTAATGGGAAAATCAGCTGGTGGGAACAAATGTCAGGTGGAGAAGGCAGTGGAGGGTCTGTCTTCATACCTTCAAATATGAGCACCTGTGGGGCTCACTGGACTTGTGGGGCACCAGGAGCTGGAGTCCCAGGAGGGGGACAAGGGTCTCCAAATGCTGGACCAAGAACAGGTTAGATGGGTCCTGAATGCAAGGCGTGGTGCGAGGAAGAGGGCTTGACCCTGGTGTTGCCATGGGTGGGGGAGCAGAAAGAGAAGGCCTGAGCACATAGGGCTAGAACGTTCTATGAGAAACTGTTCTGAGGGAAGGAAACGGAAACCAGCATCTTCCTAGACACCAGCACCTTCCTGGATGACCAGGGATGACCACTATGAGTTTAGATTATAAAACCTCTCCTCTCTGATGGTGTTAGTGCCAGAAGGGGACAGCAAGGTGGTGACAGTCTCAGCAGGGGTAATCATGTCTCTGCAGGACCTCACAGATGCTTCCACCATGATGCGCTTGCAGCTCCGAATGCAAGCCGAGCCCCCATCAAGAAGATGGGCAGTAGCCTTGGTTTGGTATTTACCTCTGACACGCAGACAAAACCAAATTATTACCATTTTTCTTTAGATTGGAGCTGTTGGGGTTGGGAGATTTTAACAAATGAAGGAGAGTGAAAACTGAAACATTCTTCAAATAAAGAGGGTGTGTGTTGCGTTTCAGAGCCAGCGATAACAAAACACATGTGCCACTCTGGGGAGAATGTCCAGCACGGACCTTCCTGGTCCCCAGGCACCCACACCATCTCCTCGGCAAGCACGGCATCTCAGTTCCCTCCTGAGCACCAGCGCTGCAGAGGAAGCACGTCCAAGGTGCCGCCGAGATGCCTCACTGCGCACAGCGGGCTCCCTGGAGAAGGGGCTCAATGCCGATGGGCAACCGACACTGAGACCTTTGGTCTCTACGAGGAGCTTGATCTACAGTCAAGGGGGGATGGCTTCTGAGGAGGGAGAGAGTCAGCCTTAAGCAAATATAAATTTAAGATATGGGGGAAATGGGTTTATGGGTATATATTTTCAATGTCATTAATAAGTATAGGAAGTACTCTGGAGGCACAGGGATCTTTGATGTCTCACCCAAATTCTGTTTGGTTAAGTAACAAGACAACACGCATGCATGCACACACACACACAAGCCAGTTTTGTTTCCGAGAATTATAAGGTTTTCATATAAACCACAGAATATATTTAATTCAAATTAAACATGAAACTAGAATAATGTTCGGTCCTTATCAAGTAGCAATTACATTGTTTAAAAAAAAAACAGTACATTTCTTTCTACATTCTGGCAATCCAACAAGGCACAAGTCACATCCAGTTTGCTGAGGTGACGGATCCAGCAGTCACCATCAATGCTCGTGATTTTGAGGGGGTTGGGGAGGCACGACCATACTTCATACAAAATGATTCTGCAGCAATTATGAAGGAGAGGAACCTCCCTCCTAATATATAAGAATGAAAGTCCAAGTAGCAGGAAGTAGGCGATTTGCATAATGCATGTATTTTATTAAATAGATAGTTCACGCGCTGCTTCTTCTTCATTCCAAATTGCCTTTCGTGCCACCTGCCTCAACGGCAGTGACAAAGATTCCTACACACATCTCGGCAATAATACTCTTTCCATTCTGGGTACTTCTTTTTTCTTTTTCTTTTTTTTTTTTTTAATTTTTTTGGCATGATTTCTTTCCCGTGTAAAGAAAGCCAACTTCAAGACACAGGTCATTCAGCTTAAAGTGTCAGCCTCCACCTTCTCCTGGGGCTGTGGGAAGGCGAAGGCCTGCATGCCAGACCTTCTCTTCCCTTCACTGCAAGCTCTTCACTGTTTGGTCTGCAGAGAGAAGCGCGCACCTGCGCCTGTTCTGCTCACCAGGGTGAAAGGGGGCGGGGCGGGGGCGGGGCTTTCTTCACAGGGCGGTGCTTTCTGTATCGTTGTCTATATCCAACAGAATGCGTCCGGGCAGGTCTTTGCTGGCTGAGTCTGAAAGCAGGTCAGGAAAGGTGCTGCGAAGCGGCTCTGAAACTCTAGAACTGGTGTCTGGACAAAAACAGGAGACATGCTGTCAGCGTGTGGTGATGCCCACGAGGCCGCCCGAGGGCGCTCTAGTAGAAGAGAAGCTGGACAGTCCGAGTCAGCCCATGCACACACACCTTCGCGCACCACGGGCACCGTCAGCCCCTGGAAGCTGGGTCGAGCCTCTCAGACCCCAGGGCAGCCGAGTGGCACAGCCCTGCCTCCTGGCTCTGGTGGCCCTCAGAGCTCGGGAGCCCTCAGAGTTGCAGCCCTTGCAGGGGGCGCTCGTTCTGACCGAAGAGAGGAAACCTCATTCTCACCAAGCCTCTCATGTGCTAACTAAAACCTCCTCACAAATCAGGGCTGAGGGGATAGGTGAGCCTCACTGGAGAGAGCCCCCTTCTCTGGGGCCCAGGAGTCTGTTCTCCTGTTACTCATGCTATGCCAACCCTGGCACCAGTGACATTTTGGGCTGGATCAATCTGGGTTGGGGGGCCGTCCTGTGCCCTGTAGCAGCCGTTCTGCCCTTCATGCATGAGATGCCAGTGGCAGACAGCCCTCTCTCCCCCAGTGTGACAAAGATGTCTCCAGACACGGCCAGATGTCCCCCGTCAACCCCTGGGTGACAATCACTGAGGTAGAATCACCAGCCTCTCACAAATACCGATTTCTCTTCTCCTTCTAATACTTATACTCAGTTCCTTTTTCATGTCTTATTATGTTGGCCGGAATTCCTCTAGCGAGAGGGCAAATGTGGAATCCTCAAGCCGTCGGTCCCTCACTCCTCAACCCACAAGAGACATCTTCATCTGTCATGGCCAGCCTCCTGGTGAGGCCGGGGAGGCTCAGATGCATTCGTTCATGAACAAGTACTTACTGAGCATCTACCTGAGATGGCACAACAGCGAACAAGCCAGACACAGCTTTAATGAAGCCAGCAGTCCAGTGGGGGAGACGGCCTCTGATCAAAACAGGATCATTTGTTTCTCTAGGAGGTGTGTGTTTTAGCAAATTGTGAGGGCCTAGTTAGAGGTTTTAGGGCCGGTGAGGGAGAGAAGGGAGAGGTTCAGATTTGCTGTAGTTTCACGCTGCCGGGCTAGAGTGCGCTGGGAGTCTCCCCGATATGTTTAAGAACTTCTCTTAATTTCTCTTTCACCTGCTCCTTCTCCACACAGGCCGGGGGCACACACAGGTGTGCTCTGGGGGCCGCACTGCTTTGAGACTGGTTCCTGCTCCAGCATAACCCTACAGTTCTGAGCTGAGAGATCTATTTACTCCCCTTTCTCACAAGGGCTCTTGGGTTGGTGGCCCCAGCCCTCCAAGTTTCCTATGCAACCACAATTCAAGAGAAATTTCTAGATTTATGGATATGCCAAGGTGTGAGAGTTCAAGTGCTGAATGCACTTGACAATTCCGGTCTTACAATAATTGTAAAACCAACTGAACTGTGCTGCATTGCACTGTCCAGTGGAGCAGTCAAGGGCGGGCTGCGTGCACAGAACTGGGATCCAAATGTCTCAGACTTGACCTCAGCAGAAAGGAAGTCACGAGAGCAGGGACTGTGTCTGTTTTGTTCAGTGCATCCCCAATGCCTAGAACAGTGGCTGTTTAATGGCTCAATCTCAGTAAATTTGGTGGCTGGCCAGCTGGATGGATAGATGAGGAAGAACCCTCCAGCCCTCCCGTTTTTCCAGTCCTCCCCTCCTATAGTCTCAGGCAGAGTAGTCACGTCTCAAAGACAAGACTGGTACAAGAAATCCACTGCAAATTCAATCCCTAACCCAACAAGACAGATGGTGCCACCAGTCAGCGTCTCTTTTTAGCCCAAAGAGTTTACCAGAGACTATGGAACTGCCATGCCTGGTGGGGGATGTGTGATGCAAAGGCACTATACGTACTGATTAGATTTCTACTTGTTAATATGTGGATTTACATGCAAACCAACACCGATCAGCCACAGATCCTTTTCAGAGGACAAACTTTCTTTTCTTTTCCTTTCTTTCTTCCCTTTCCTTTCCCTCCCTCCCTCCCTCCCTTCCTTCTTTCCTTCCCATCACATATAAATAATTTCTGGATTTGTACTTTCCTGAAATTCTCTATTTATGATGAATACACACAAATTCTACACTCAGGAAAAAAAGTGTGTGGTGGGAGCATAAGGGACGTTCCTTCCCTCTGCCTCCTGCCCGCTCGCCTGGTTTGCCTGAGGTTGGCAGGTACATTATTTCCCAGCCCCGCGCCCCCTTACACAAACCATTTTTAGTTTTTATCTTTTTAAAGGCAGCTGATTTTATTTTTATTTATTTATGATTTTATTATTATCTTTAAAAGTTTTAAGTAGATTCCATGCCCAACATGGGGCCTGAACTCATGACCCTGAGATCAAGAGTCACATGCTCCACTGACTGAGCCAGCCAGGCCAGCTGAACCATGTTTAAAAAGAAGACAGCAAATCTGTTCCCACACAAGAAGTAGTAAGAATCAGGATGTGTGCAGAGCCAGCTTTCAGAAGGAGACTACTCTTCATCACAATGGCTGGACCACTGAGCGGCTACCACATACCAGGCATGGTGTGGGGGGCTCCACACACATCATTGTGTCAGTTTACTGCCCCCCCCCCCGTGAAAGGACCCCAAGGCAGCACTAGTGCCACCGGAGAGGTAGAAAGGAGGACTCTGAGAGACTCAGCTCCACACGGAGGATCAGAGCCAGATGGGTTGGACCCTGGAGTCTGGTTCTTCATTGGCCTAGTGCTCTCCCTCTGCCCTGCAGGAGTCTGTGCGTCCTCGGGTGAGGGTCCTGACGGAGAAGACGGCCTCTGAGGATATAACGCGTGAGTCTTAAACACTCTAGTTCATTGTAGCAAAAAGGTGGAAAAGGCTATTTTAGAAAGATTCTATTTTTTAGAAAATCTTTTGAAGGAATTCTATTTTTTAAAAATGCCTCTGGGGCGCCTGGGTGCCTCAGTCGGTTAAGCTTCTGCCTTTGGCTCAGGTCATGATGCCAGGGTCCCAGGATCGAGCCCCACATCGGGCTCCCTGCTCAGCAGGGAGTCTGCTTCTCCCTCTGCCCTCTACCCCACTTGCGCTCTCTCTCTAGCACTCTCTCTCAAATAAATAAATAAAATCTTAAAAAAAATTATAAACATGCCTCTAAAACCTTCTGGCTGCAAATTTACATAAGGCATCATTTTTCTTATATGCATTCTAAGAAGGGCTGGTTTGAGCATAGAGTTTGGAGCTAAGGTCACATGACTGATGTTATATCAAAAAACCCAAACCAAAAAGACAGAGACACCCAGCACACTGTATCTCCTCTCGGGCAGAATGTTACCCCGATCGGCGGCTTGGACAAATCTCACTGGGTTCCTTTCTTTTTTTTGAGTATCTGTATCAAGGAAGTTAGCCCCCCAAGGGCCAGAATGGGCCCTCTATAATTTAGGGTATGGTCCTACAAGGTTTATTTGTCACCTCAACAAGATGTGCTTGTCCAAGTTTATTCGAATGGTCACTCTGAGAGGGAAGAGACCCAAATACAACCTTGAAATTAAACTTTCCAGGCATAACCACAGGCGAATCAACTTCCCCACCTGACCAGTCTGTAACCTGAGGGAAGGACCCCCTTCTGCCGCTCACCAGCTCGCTAGGGCCGTCAGAGCTTTGGCGCCCAGTTTTTATTATTTTAGTCAAAGGAGAGATCCTGTTCAGGTCTCACTGGATATTTACCTTGACATGATTCTGATGTCTAGTTATTAAAAATAAACTGCAAGTAGAAGTAGAAGCCACTGAAATGTCCGGCTATGAGCAAAAATACGCCTGCTTAACGTTAAGGAGTCATTTGAAAAGATGGTTGTCAAAACTCCATCATAACATGGGATGTAGCATATGATGCAAGATCAAAACCTATTTTTGCAAAATAATTATGATCAGGCACCCCCTGGACTTTTAGGAAAAAAAAAAAACTAGAGAAAAAATAGAATATGAATAGCAAACTTCTCCAACTGTAGAAGAGTGCCTTCTAATTAGTTCTAGTTTCCAAGTCTCCTTTAATATCCATGGTTAATTTTTTTAAATGTGTTTCTTTTGGCATATAAAAAGAGGTTAGTTTTAAAAAAGAACACTGTGAGAACCAGCAAAGTGTTGCGGTTTTAAGGACGATCCTGAGAGCGACATGGTGTATCACTGGACAGAGGATGGGAACCTTGTGGGTATTCTCAGGCTCATGAAATATCATGGAATATTAAGAAATATCTTCTACTCCTGAGCATTGTCTTTTTAACCCACGAAAGAATCGATATTGGGAAAATCAAGTGGTGCATCAGAATCTAAATATGGATGCCTGGGCCCCAGCCCTCCCGTGTCTGGGTTCTAGAAGGCTGGGTCTGGGCATATGAATTTTTAAAGCGTTGACCTATGAATCTAATACATAACTCTGAGTATCTATTTTTTTCCAAGATGAAAATTATCATAAATTACTTAGGACCCCGTGAATATTAAGAACGGTAAGGGCGCCTGGGTGGCTCAGTCAGTTAAGCATCTGCCTTCGGCTCAGGTCATGATCCTGGAGTCCCGGGATTGAGTCCCGCATCGGGCTCCCGGCTCAGCGGGGAGCCTGCTTCTCCCTCTGACCTCTCCCCTCTCATGCTGTTTCTCTCTCGCTCTCTAATAAATAAATAAATAAAATCTTTAAAAAAAAAAAAGAACTGTAAGATGTTTTCTTATTTTATCTGATTTAACCCCTTCAGGAGAAATTCTCACAGACGTCACCCTCTTACTGATCAGCCTGGCTGTGCCTTATCTGATGTGACACAGAGAACTGCAATTCTAATTTGGGCACGTCGGAGTCTACAGTGTCTTCCTTCTACTACACCTCAAGCCTGCCTGGTATAGGAAAGAACAGAAGTGAGAGAAGTAACAGGGCCAGCCCCGTGAGCACCCGTCACACATCTGTGAGCACACTTCGTATCCAGGGTGATTGACAGCAAGCATGAACGAAGCCAGCCTCCTTCAGTACATGCACTGTTAGTAGGGATGCAAGCAGGCAGGGTCAGGGTGCCCGGTTAGTAACAGGCGTTAGTGCACAAACATGATCATAAAGTAGCACAAATGCTTTGGCCAATCAGGTGCCTTTTCCTTACCATTAAATATTCCAATTTCAGTTCCTACTGAATATGGCAGGTCATACATCTAAATTATTTAATAAAATGTTGAAATTAGAACACTCTTGGCTAGAATCTATTCCTTTAAAAACAGCAAGATGTAAACTCTCTTACTTTCGAAGCTAAAAGCCTTGTCGTGCTTTCTACAGTAACAATGAAGAAGGGATTCCAGTGACACCAGAACCCCTCCGTTCTCCCGGGCCGGTGCTGAACTGCCACAGGTTGGCTGCCAAAGGTGTTTGGCAGCAACAGTCTCCCCCAAGAGTTTATCCTAATCCCCAAGCCTTAATTCCACCTTTTTGGGATTAACTGCTCTAAACGAATAACGTGTTTCCAGGAATCTGTCTGTGGTTTTCCATGTAAAAACACACGATGCCGTAATAAAGAAACGCCTTCCTCGGAAGTTAGGTTGAAATACCCAATAGCCATATCCAGGAATGGTTAATAATAGCGGACTCGTGAGTCCTAAATGCTGGCCTTCTGTGTGCTTCTGCGGGCAGTCTGGGCGTTTTTAAGCAATTAAAAGTTAATTCTGCAATACAAAGGTCATTGTGGTGGCCTGGAATTTCTTGAGCTTAGGAGAATTCATAACATAGATTGGTTTTTAAATACTTAGCTAACATCTTAAGGAAAAGTAGTTTTTATATAAAATTTCCCTGGCCTGATAATTATCAAGTACAGAGCCTTGCGGGACTGTACCGGATCAATAAGATAGCTCTCTGGAATAAATACACCTGGGTGGAGAACGGTATTAAATAACAGACAGGATTCTGGTTTGCACTTTTCTGTCTAAAAAGAAGGAAAGATCTGGGTGGAGGGGGAGAATTTTGGTGTGTCCCAAGTACTGACATGTTAAAAGGCTCAGCCTTGATTAGGGCTTAGTTACTTTACTGTTTGTGCATGACTTCCACACCCCATCAGGCAATGCCCGGCTTCTGGGTTATAAGGAGTCGGGAAGGGGGACTCATCCCTGTGCTCTCCTCTGTGTCCTAAAGGTCGCACTCTAGTTTTTCCCTTTCCGGTTTCTCCAGAAAGTCTAACTCAGACTAGAGCTGTGAATACTCTGTCGAAGCGGCCCACCAAAGGTTTAAGGCTCAGCTCAGCGGATGAGAGCAACCGCACACGTAACGACAGTCTTACGGTGTCCAAATGCGGACCCAAAGGCAGGGTGTAGATGAGCCTCACGGTGCCCTTGGAAAAGCTCATATGGTTTAAGAAAGCAAAATGTAAGCATGCTGGAATGCAAAGGAATTTAGTGTGGGATCTTTGGAGGAAGATTTTTTTTTTTTTTTGGTCCTGAGTATTTCAAACATCAAATTAAGAAGCTCCATGCGGTTAACTTGCACTTAAGATATACAATTAAAAAATTAAAGCTCAAGACACAGGGAACACGATTTTCTGTGCTGACTGCACCCGAGTCCTCTTTGGTTGGATGTGATGAGCCAATCGATGAGAGGTAAATCAGTGAGAAGAGCAGGACCCTTTAGGAAAGGCTTACCAACAAGAAAGAAGACACTCCTCGTATCTTATGAGAGTAGCTTGAAATTGGGTTCTCAATCTACTGACATCTACCTCTTGAATTTGGAGCACTGCAGCTCGGAATGCTTTTGGTAAGAACATATGGAATGTCTAATGCTACAGAACGGATGGCAGGGGCGTCAAGTAGCTGCTCCTGAGCACATAGTCACAAGCACATATGCAAAACACGGCTAAGCAGGAGCATTTGGAGCTGTGGTGCGAGCTGCTTGGGGGGGTTACAGACCTTAGTCCTGGGAACCTTCCCCACCTGTCAGGGCATCTATTGGGAAACAAACAAACAAACACACCAATATGGCTTTGTTTTTTTAAAATAAATGCTGGAGTGTCATCAGAAATTATTAACCATTTACAATACGTGCACTTATGTAGTATATTCCTGGAAAAAAAAATACGGTTATCAAAAGATAGACTAGTTGGTTAACCCTCATCATTTGGGGTACCAGTCCAGGGGATACCGTTGGCTCATTTCAGCAGAGAAGTTGTGCAGTACAGCTGGTCAGCCCAGAGGTATAGTTCAGCTTCTTCTCTAAAACTAGCTCCAAGCAGGAAATTTAAAACTAAGCTGTTATGATTCAGAGCTCTTAAGTGCCATTTTTAAAAACACATTAAAACCCCCCCATCCACCCCATCCTTAAATCAAATAGTGTATTAGAGCCCTTGGGGTAGAATTTTTTAAAGAAATAATAATTAAATAAAATGATCATGTTCTAGACTACCTGTAAAAAACAAAACAAAACAGAACAAAAAACACCCCATTAGGTAGCCCACTGAAATCTATATAATCACCACCACCCAAAACAGGTTTCCACAGGAATTATGGGAAATTCTTGATCCTTCCCCTCCCTCATCACTTGAGGCTCGCACTCTGATGTGATCACGCCCCAAGACCTCTCTTCCCAGAGCATCCAAATGGGCACAGGTCATGTTTTTTTAAAGTTATACCTGAAATGCTTCACTTACTATGAACATTTTTAGCTTTAGAAGGAAAATAAGTATCTTAATGCGGAGTTTGCTAAGAGATGAATTTCATGCTCATGTTGTACAACACCTTCTACCTGCATTAGGTCATTATACTTAGAAAAAGGTAAAGGTAGATAGGTCTTAAACACATATGAAACTATAAATCAGAGGCCAGCTAACTTCAAGGGCCAGGTAGTAAATATTTTTAGGCTCTGTGAGCCAAATACTCTCTGATAGGACTATACCACTGTTACATTAGCACAAAAGCAGCCAAAGATGGTATGTAAACAAATTAGAGTGGCTGTGTCCCAATAAAACTTTATTTATAAAAATGGGCTATGGGCCGGATCTGGCCAGTGGGGATAGTTTGCTGGCCCCCTGCTGAAGACCAAGGCCTAAACTGAAAGGGGAGAGTCCAGAAGCAATGTAGCATGGATGAGGGGGGGAAGGTCTGAGCCGATTTCTCACTTACCTGTTACTATTTTGGAAGCAGTGGGAGCTGCATTGGTGAGGGTGCCATCCCCAGCCAAGTGGGCGCCAGGAGGATGTGGGGGTGGAGGCACACTGGGCCGGTTCCTCGGCTTTGGTACTGGTCTCGGTCTTGGTAAAGTTCCGGTGTGTGGCTGCGCCATCTCAGGGTTACTCATTGCCTGGGTCTGAGAAGCTGGCAGGCTGGGGTTCTGTTTTCCTAAAGGTGGAGTCCTAGGGGGCGTTGGAGTCTGGGGAGGGGTATGAGGCGGCTGCTCAAGTCCAGGCTCACCGGGCAGTGCCACGGGGGCAGGCGGGCCCTGGCTACTCGGTCTGCTGTGCCCCAGCAGCGCGGCCTGCGTCGGGGGCTGTGGCGGCGGGTGACTGGGAGCTTGTATTGGGGACAGGCTGCTGGAGTACCTCCGGGGTGCAGAGGGCTGCGAGGTGGTGCAGGCCTGGCTGGGGGCCTGGCCCGCGTGCTGGGCGGGAGGAGAAGGGCTGCGGGTGGTTGGCTTTGGTGACAGGCTGGGTGGGTGCGGAGATGTTCCTGGAGAGCTCTGGCCCCCAGGGTGGCCAGGAGGTGGGTTTCCTGGTTTCGGGGGTGCAGGAGCAGGTTTTTTAACAGCTGCACAAAGGGGGAAAACACCTTTCAGTGAGAACAGCACAGCGAGAGCCAACACTGCCTTTATCAGGTGAACCTCACCACGGCGGATCCCAAGCACCCCGTGCAAGGATGCAAGTGGGAGGGCACTTCACCTCTGTGGTCTCCCTCCCCCAAGCCCCCAGGCCCAAGTCTAACCAGGAGAACAGCAGATGACAAACTCGAATTGAGGATGTCCTTCAAAACGCCTGACCGGCCCTCCCCCAAGCCGTCAAGGCCACGAAGACACAAGGGAGGAAGGAAACTGTCACAGCCCAGAGGAGACTCAGGAGATGAGGTGGCTGCATGCGCCGTGGTCTCCTGGATGGGAGCGAGCCTGGGACAGAATATGGACGTTGGTGGAACTGGTGGAATCTGAACAAAATACAGAGTTTCGTCCATAGTAAAGCAGCGGGGTTGGTTTCTGGGCTGCGATACATGCACCCTGGGGACCTGGGACATTAACAGTCGGAGAAGTGGGTGAGGGGCATATGGGGACAACCCACACTGCCTCTGCCACTTCTCTGGAAATCTAAAATTATTCCCAAACAAGAAGTTTATGGTAAAAAGAAAAAGTACCTTATACACATAGGGACCTTTAAAGACCTGCTGTTTATCTTTCAATTTAAAAAATTTTTACTAGGGCGCCTGGGTGGCTCAGTTGGTTAAGCGACTGCCTTCGGCTCAGGTCATGATCCTGGAGTCCCGGGATCGAGTCCCACATCAGGCTCCCTGCTCAGCGGGGAGTCTGCTTCTCCCTCTGACCCTCTTCCCTCTCATGCTCTCTATCTCTCATTCTCTCTCTCTCAAATAAATAAATAAAATCTTTAAAAAAAATTTTTTTACTAATCTCTACACCCAATGTGGGGCTTGAACTCATGACCCCGAGATCAAGAGGTGTATGCTCTACACACAGAGCCAGCCAGGTACCCCAAGGCCTGTCGTTTGAAAAGTTCAATATGAAGAGAACTCAGTGAACGGGGGGGGCCGCCTCCCTACACGGAATCGCTGCTCTAAGCCCACTGAGCTGCCCACTTGTCAGTGTCCTTCCCGCGTGATCTGAGAGCCCGGGAAGAATCAGGGAGAAGAACAGCTAGAAGAGGGTGACCCCCAAGCATGACTGATCTGCCTATACATACACCATGGCCCCTTGCCCTAAGCCGGCTTCTCTTAGAGAGCTTGACTTTTTTTTTTTTTTAAATAACAGAAATTCTACCGATTCAGGAATCATTTGAATTAACAGATAACGTTCTGGATAGAAGTACAAGTAAGTCTGGAAGAGTTGTCTTAGCTAGATTTCTCTAAGGAGAGTTGAAGCACATCACCATCCTTCTCATACCAGTTGAGATCAGTGTCACTAAGAGGGCTTGGGTGCAGAATTTGGTACTGAGGAGGGAGAAATGGAAAACAGTGGGTCTGGAAACCAGGTTTTGGGCTGGGAGAGGTGGGTGGAAAGGAGAGACGTTAGTATTTTTCAAATTGTACTGAGATCCTACTAATCTTCCCCAAAAGCAATAGGGAAATTAAGGAGGATCATTTACCCCACATCACCAACACACAAGTTAGGTCTCCTACATAAACTGAAGTCCCATTTAAGTCTCATTTAAGTCCCATTAGCTCCCTGTAAGACAGGCATTGTCATACCCATTTCATGGCGGAGAAAGCCAAGGCTCAGAGGAGTCAAGTATTCGCAAAAGATCACACAGCTAATAACTGGCAGAACAGAGGCTCACCACCACGCTCTATGGACTCCTTGAACTCTTTTTCATCCCCTTCCTCCTTCCTACACTGCCTGGCTCCCTGCTCACAGGGCTCAGAATTCAGGAATGAAAAGGGTATAAAGTCTGCTCTGCTCTGCTGGCCTTGAACTTTTGACCCTGGACCTTGGAAGACCTTTTCCCAAAGAAACAACCAACCAACCGACAAAGTAAGAACTCTAGAATAGTAGCCACTCTCTGGTTACCATAAGCAACTTAAAAAGAGAAATGTCTAGCTTTCTATTCTGAGTGATATTAATTGTAAATTCCCACGGGATGAAAGCATTCCTGGCAGGAAAGGATGCCGAGGGAATTAGGAGAGGAGGCAGGAGAGTTGGGTGCCGGGGCCAGGGGAGAATGGTGGACCTCATCCAAGGCCACCTGTGAGCGTCTGGGGAGGCTGAGGCAGGGGCTGAAGGATCACACTCGTCCTCTGAGGCAGCCGGAGATCCGTGGTCTGAGGAAGCAGGAAAGCCCCCTAAGGTGGCCATAAGGAGAGCCTCAACCTGGAAGCAGGGTTATACCCAGAATCCAGGAAGAGAAGACCTAATTACCCTCCGGGATCAGCTGGGGCACAGATGAAGGTGATGGTGGCTCAGGAGAGAGGATCGCCTTAAGAAGGATCAAGTGGGGTCTGTAACCAAGCGGTGTCCCTGACTTTGCCTCCTTGCCTGTAACTTATAAAAATTCCACGCATATACGACCAGCTGATCTTTGACAGGGCACTGAGGATGTACAATGAGGAAAGGATGGTTTCTTCAACAGGTGGTGTCGGGAAAAGTGGACGTCCACAGGCAGAATAAAAGTGGACCCTTATCTTATACCATGAACAAAAGTCAACTCAAAATGGATTAAAGATTTAAACATAAGAGGGGCGCCTGGGTGGCTCAGTCGGTTAAGCATCTGCCTTCGGCTCAGGTCATGATCCGGGAGTTCCAGGATCGAGTCCCACATCAGGCTCCCTGCTCAGCGGGGAGTCTGCTTCTCCCTCTGCGCCCCCCCCCCGGCTCATGTGTGCGCGCTCTCTCTCTTGCTCGCTCCCTCTCAGATAAATAAATAAAATCTTAAAAAAAAAAAGACTTAAACATAAGACCTGAGAATGTCAAGCTCCTTGAAGAAAATACAGGGGGGAAGGCTTCATGACATCGGAATTGGCAATGGTTTCCTGGATATGGCTCCGAAAGCACAGGCAACAGAAGAATGGACGTATGGGTCCACGTTAAACTACAAAGCTTCTGCACAGCAAAGGGAATGACTGACAGACGAAGAGGTAACCCACAGAATCGGGGAAAACAGTTGCAAACCATCTATCTGATAAGGGGTTAATTTCCAAAATATGTAAGGAACACCTACAACTCAATAGCAAAACAACTAATAACCTGATTTTAAAATAGGCTAAACACCTGAATGGACTTTTCTCCAAAGAAGTCATCCAGATGGCCAACAGGCACAGGAAAAGATGCTCAACATCACTCATCATCAGGGAAATGCAAATAAAAACCACAGTGAGACATCACCTCACCCCTATCAGAATGGCTACTATTAACAAAACCCCCAAAGACAACAAGTGTTGACGAAGATGTAGAGAAAATACAACCCTTGTGCACTGTTGGTGGGAATGCAAATTGGTGCAGTCGTTATGGAAAACAGTATAGAGGTTCCTCAAAAAACTAAAAACAGAACTACCATATGATCCAGCAAACCCACTTCTGGGTATTTAGCCAAAAGAACTGAAATCAGGATCTCAAAAAAATATTTGCATTCCTGTGGTCCCTGCGGCATTATTCATAATAGCCGAGATGTAGAAACAGCCTAAATGTCCATCGACGGATAATTGGATAAAAAAAAAAAATGGGGGCACTTGGGTGGCTCAGTCGTTAAGCATTTGCCTTCGGCTCAGGTCATGATCCCAGGGTTCTGGGATCGAGTCCCGAGTCGGGCTCCCTGCTCCGTGGGAAGCCTGCTTTTCCCTCTCCCACTCCCCCTGCTTGTGTTCCCTCTCTCGCTGTGTCTCTCTCTGTCAAAAAAAATAAATAAAATCTTTTAAAAAAACTGTGGGATATACGTGCAACAGCCTTAAAAAAGAAGGATATCCTGCCATATACAACATCATGGATGAAGCTAGAGGACATTACGCTAAGTGACATAAGGCAGTCACAATAAGACAAATACTGCGTGATTGCACTTATATGAAGTATCTAAAGCAGTCAAACCCACAGAGTCAGAGTGGAATGGTGGTTGCCAGGGCTAGAGAGAGGGTACTGGGGAGGGGCTAACGGAGAGCTGCAAGGCAACAGACATCAAGTTTCAGTTATGCAGGATGAGTAAGTTCTAGAGGTCTGCTGCACCACACTGTGCCTGTAGTACTCTTAGAGATTTAAGAGGGCAGATCTCATGGTAGGTCTTCTGACCCCAATAAAATTAAAAAAAAAAAAAAAAAAGAACCACAAGAAGATGCTGTGGGTCAGAATGTTCCAGAAGAGAAAAAATGGAATGCAGAAGTTCTAAAGAGGGAATGAGGGGCGCCTGGGTGGCTCAGTTTGTTAAGCGGCTGCCTTCAGCTCAGGTCATGATCTCTAGGTCCTGGGATCAAGCCCCACGTTGGGCTCCCTGCTCAGTGGGGAGCCTGTTTCTCCTTCTCCCTCTGGCTGCCACTCCCCCTGCTTGTGCTCTCTCTGACAAATAAATAAATAAAATCTTAAAAAAAAAAAAAAAGAGGGGATGAGCTTAGTGCATCCCAGGAGCAGAGAGCAGACCAGCACTGCTGAAGCTTGGTGAGAGAGGGGCGTGGTAAGTGTGGGGCCCAAAGGCAGGCCGGACCACACCGGCCCCACAGGGGAGGTCTGCACAGAAGCCATTGGAGGGAGAGTTTCAACAGAGAGAAGACACGATCTGCTGTGTTTTAGAGCAACCCCGCTAACTGCTGTGTGGAGGACGGTAGGGATATGGGTAGGAACCATTCAGATCATACAGCACTCAGGACCCAGAAAGCCCTGACCTCAATCTAGAGGTTACAGCGGCTTGCAGACCCGTAGAGCCTGGCTATGACAGAGGCTGTGGTGGCTTCCAAGCAGAGGGACGGCTTGGAATGCCAGATTCCTGGAAAACTGGGAGTGCTGTTTCCAAGAAACAACTTTTCGTTTGTTAGGCTTTGTGGCTTAAACATATTCTTAAATGCCTGCTTTTCTGCTATTATTTCATTTCCTTTTAATGATTTTGCTTTTAAACGACTGATTTTTCTGCCTGCCATTTTTTTTGAAGTTCTTTGTTTTTTTTTTTTTAAAGTAATCTCTACACCCAATGTGGGGCTTGAACTTGTGACTCTAAGATCAAGCGATGCATGCTCCTTCGACGAAGCCAGCAGGTGCCCCTCTGCTTGCCATTTTATAACAGACATGGAGATGATCTGTCAGAAAGCCTTGCAATGTGAATCCCTGTGCTAGCCGAAGGAAGTCTGCACATCCCTTCCTAAGGGGAAGGAGTAAAGGTGGCTACTTACCCCGGCGCAGAGTGTGCGGGCTAGGGCCAGCGGAATTGTGCCCCGGGCCAACGGAGAGCTGATGGGAGCCGGCCACCGTCTGTGCCTGGTTCTGGCCACTGGCCATCTGACTGCCATTTCTCCCTGGGGCAGGGGCAGGTGCAGAGTCCTTGGGTTTTGGCGGACTATGGAGAGCAGAAGTCAAGTTTGATGTCAGGCATTCCCCGAGAGAAAGCTAGTCAGCATGCTATCAAAATACCAAATTCCACCCAGAGTTTTCACCTCGGCAGGCAAGGAGGTGATCGGGAATTTTCAACAGTTCACACAGGGTCTGCAAACCCACTATTTATTTGCGGACACACAGGGCTAAATATTTCAGGAGATTCACTGCCTCAATTGTATTCCAGCTACTCTGTCACTCGAATATCACAAGAGACACCATTTCACAGCTACCAACAAGAAATTTCTAGTTTGAGGGGCGCCTGCGTGGCTCAGTTGTTAAGCGTCTGCCTTTGGCTCGGGTCATGATCCCAGGGTCCTGGGATCGAGCCCTGCATCGGGCTCCCTGCTCGGCGGGAAGTCTGCTTCTCCCTCTCCCACTCCTGCTGCTTGTGTTCCCTCTCTCGCTGTGTCTCTCTGTCAAATAAATAAAATCTTTAAAAAAAAAAAAAAGAAATTTCTAGTTTGCTTGTACTTAAATTGGGCAGTATGCTTTTTAGCATGAAAGGGCTTTCGGACTTCAAAAGAAAGAGATTTGACACACGCAGTGTACAAAACAAAGCAAAAGCTGTGGCAAGATACTAACACTGTAAATTATAAAGTGCTAGGTTATTATCAATCATTTGGACTTGAGGAAAGAGTAACCCTGAGACTCAATGATGGCTCACAGCCCGGAGCTGGTTAGCAGCAGGGTGGACAGAGATCAGAACTCGGGCCGATTCCTGGCTCAGAACTTTGTACACTAAGCTTTACAGCTTCATCTTGTCAGGGTCACTAAAGCATGAACACCATTCGTGAAGGTACACAAAATACCCACAGCACACAAAGAACAAAAGCAAATTGAGGACTGACACTCCATTTGTCCTTCTGCAGGGCATCCTAATTATTGTCTTAATGTGTTTGGCCTTGATTAAGCAACCTGAAGGCTACAGGTAAATGAAAATGTGTGCAAATACTTTTTTTTTTCCCTCAAACAAAAAAAATTAAAGCCAAAACAAAGACATGTGTGGAGCGTCAGTTTTGACAAGACAACAGGGAGCTTATGATGTGCCTAGGAAACCTTGGGAGGTGGAAGCCTTCGTGATTTTTAACCAAAATGTGAACTTCTGCAAATTCTGTGAGTCAAAAGGAACTCAGGAATATACAGAGCAGTCCAAATTCAGCTGTGAGGCTGGAATGAGATTTTTATCTCCTAAGCAGCTAGCCTCACATCCCACCAGGCACTCCTTCCCCATCCAGAGAAGCTGGATCCTTGTTCTATGCATTTATTTTACTTTATATGTGGTTATCTAGTGCTTTATAGATGGCCATGGTAGAGAAAAGGACAAGAAAAATCATAGCACATACTCTGTAGAGGGGTTCATCTGTTACAGCAGCTTCCAGTCCTGAACTATCTGACATAGCACCTGAAGTAGCCTCCAGTGGAGAAGTGAATTCATGCAGATTAGATGAAAATCTCAAGTTCAAAGGTACTCTTTCTTAAAGTTGCTGTATATTTATACCCCACTCCAGACAGCTAATCAAAAGGTTAAGCAACAAAAGAGCCTTTTAAGAAAGTCTATCATATTTTCTACCTTGTATTCACCTATCAATTTGCCTGTAAGACTGAAAGCTAGGGGTGGGGGAGGTCTCAGTCCACCAACTGTGTACTGCATCCGGCACTCAGTTATTCAGTAAATTTGATTAGATGGATGGATGGGTGGATGGATGGACGGATGGATGGATGGACAGACGGATGGATGGATGGATGGATGAATGGACAGATGGATGGATGGATGGACGGACAGACAGATGCATGGGTGGGTGCATGGGTGGGTAGATGGGTGGATGGGTGAGTGAATGAATACCACGAATACTCTCACTAAGTAACTTGCTACATTCAAGTGTTAACTACTTAGTGTGGAAGATGACAAAAGCAAATGGTAAATGAACACTGAGTGCTCATCAAACAGGGAAAAGAGGTTTACAGTACTGCTAGCCGCCTGTTGGCTTCTAGCACCAAAGCAGTATGGTAAAGAATGCAAACAAACGTTGCTTCTTTTGGACAACGGGAAAGGAAGCAAGCAATTTGCAGTCTTTTTTCCCATCCTTTGCCAACCAGAAGAGTGAAGGCAGATCTGGTTCACTCTCTGCTGAGCGATTCTGTGGGCATGGAGGCCATGCCTGCAGGCCAGCGCCTTCGAGAAGGGTGGGGCACGGAGCACCCGCTGCCAGCAGAAGCCGCCTTCTTACCTGTCGCCCGGGCTTGGCCCCTGCTCCAGTGTGCCCGCAGAGGAGGGGACCGTCCCACCCCCTGTGCTGCTTTCAGCCCTAGAGCTCTGGGGAGGGGGCTCTGGGCCTGCAGGAGCCAAGGTGCTGCCATCTGTGGGCGGGAGTGGCGGCTGGAAAGCCGGGGATATGTGCTTTCTAGTTAGAGTGCCACCCCGCCGGTGGGCCTGGAAGTCCATAAGCTTCACACCAAAGCTACACAGAAAGAAGAAACAGTCAACACAGCATGCAAGCCGACTATAGAGACAGAAGTCCATTGGTCCGCATGTGTTAAAACCCACGCACGGGGAGAGCCACCCGAGTTGCCCAGCATGCAGTGAGGCGGCAAGGACCAGACGAATGGTCACTGCTGTTACCAAGGCAAGCAGCTCAACCTGGCTTTAAACCTGAGCAAACCAACAGACCTGGTACTGATCAATGTCCTTTCTCAATTTGGGTGTGAACGGCTGAAAGCACACAGGCAGACCTCGTCCTGAGTGGGTGACATCGCGTTAGCGCACCTACCTGCCTACCACCCAACGGCCGCCTTGCGTCTGGGTGTTTGGGGGACGGGGTGGAGGCTGAGGGCAGCGTCAGGATGTCACACCGCACTCTGCCTCTACAGCTGAGGTGTACGAGCACTGGTGGGCGTGGATGCAAAGAATGTATCTGAGAGGATTCGTGACCCCGGAAAAATCTCATTGCTTTTGGGAAGGAGACGGTGGCTGGGGAATGGGGAGAAGGGAGATTCACTTTTCACGTAAGCCGACTGATGGATGAACTCTCAAGCTCTTCAGTTTGAAAAATAGAGACATGTGGCTCCCTGAGCTCGTGTGTGCTGGGTCAGCTGGCGGGGAGAATCCACCCCCGGAGATAACCGAGAATCGCTTCTTGCGTGCCAACCAGGGCCAGGACGCTGCATTTTGTGACTTCAAATACGTGAAGGCTAATTGTGCGGTGGCCAGTGTGTCATCAGGAAGCAGGACCTAATATGTGATCGGGGCTTCAGAGAAGTAAAACCTCTGCCCATAAGAAATGTGGGTTTCAGAGGAACAGACGGAAAGTAAAGCATGGGCCTTTGCTATGGATTAAAAAACAACAACAAAGCAAAAGGAAACAAAAAAATCAAAGCTCACTATAAGATTGGGCAATGAAAAGAAGAGCTTGTTGTTTAGTTGTAAAACCATGTCCAGTGATGTTATTCCGTCTGTGTGCGAAAAGCACGTTACTCCACAGGCCTCTCTAACTTGGCCTTATGGGTGAGCACAGTGGCATTTCATCATTCAGACTGAACAGGTTGGCCTCTGAGGGCATAAATCACAGACAGCCTTATTAAGTTTTGAAAATCCCACTAAAATCGCCTGTGGAGCATAGTATAGAGACCTAGGTCTCTCACTAAGTCCAAATACGGGAGTATCTCCAGCTGAACATCAGAGTCAGGGGCTGGCTTCCATTGAGGGGCTAAGTTATACCCAGAATGGGTCTCTCTGAAAACCAAATCCGACAACTCACTGTGAGAGGTGGGTTATTCTCTCATCTGTCCACAATATTTAACTTGCCCTTGCTTTTTCTCTCCTTTCCCCCCGTCAAGTATGTTTAGGTGGCTTTGTAGCATGAGTATGATGCTTATCACAGACCAAGTGAAGCTTGGATGCATATGGAACAAATGTGTACTGACAAGCTACAGAGCTGCCTTGTGGTCACGTTAACGTTTGGAATGAACTAGAGCAGAATTCCCGAAATATCTAGACCTAACGTCATGGGCGCGCCGTGGGGCACTCTCATACTACAGGCCCATTGAGGCAGTACCTGATACCAAGGGTTTAGTAATTCTTCTACATGACATCTGCTGTTGGAGGAAAGTGAACAGCTCTAAACACACCTCTCCTTCTTCACCAAGTCCCCTTCCATGACCGCCATGCTGGCAGGCCGCTTCCTCTCGAGGGTCCCTGAGTCAGAGTCATTTCCAGTGTGAGATGAGTGATTGGAATTTGGGGCGACGAGAGGCACGAATGCTTCCGATACGTTAAATTCCACCTCTGCAAGGAGAAAAAGAAACAAGCGTGCAGGCACACCTCAGAGATAAGGCAAGTTTGGTGGCAGACCACTGCAATAAGGCGAGGATCACGATTAAGCAAGTATTGTGATGAAGTGAACATCCCAATAAAATGAATTATCACAATAAAGCAAGTCAAATGACTCTTCTGGTTCCCCAGTGCACATAAAAGTTATGTTTACACTATGCTGCCCTGTGTCATAGCAGTATGTCTACAAACACAAGGCACATACCTTAATTAAAAAATACTTTATTGCTAAGAAATGCTAACCATCATCTGAGTTTTCAGTGAGTCCTAATCACCGATCACAGATCACTATAACCAATATAATAAGAATGAAAAAGTTTGAAATACTGCAAGAATTACCAAAATGGGACAGAGACATGAAATGAGCAAATGCTATTGCTAAAATGGCACCAATGGACACGCTCAAAGCAGGGTTGCCACCAACCTTCAACTTGTAAAATACTGCAGCATCTAGGAAGTGCCATAAAGCAAAGCGCCATCAAGTGAGGTCTGCCTGCACATGAGGCGTAGAGCATACGGGTGCAGGAGGCTTTAAAACTCCCATCAGCCCTCCCTGTTTCACAAGTGCAACTCCCTGCCCCCTCATCTTCTCAAGAATGGTTTGCCACACCAGGGGGAGGTAAAATGAGGAAACTAGAGATAAGGAGGGGGTGTGATTCAGAATATAAGTTACACAATTCCTCTGCCCTCTTCTTAAAAAAAAAAAATCAGGGAATATGGAAGAGGACAATAGCATGGATTACTAAAAAAAAAATGAAAGGTATTTACAGTTTGATATAAAATACAAGTAAAAGGCAACACCAACTCCATAATGCCTATAGAGTTTTTCTTTTCTTTTTTTAATAATTGTTTTATTGTTATGTTAATCACCATACATGACATCATTAGTCTTTGATGTAGTGTTCCGTGATTCATTGATTGTGCATAACACCCAGTGCTCCACACAGAATGTGCCCTCTTTAATACCCGTCACCAGGCTAACCCATCCCCCCAGCCCCCTCCCCTCTAGAACCCTCAGTTTGTGTTTCAGAGTGCCTATAGAGTTTTTCTAAGACTTGTTTTCCCAAAGAAATCTTGGGCAAAACGCCGGTATTCATTCATGCATCACGTACTTATTGAGAATCTACATGAGTGAGGTATGATTCTCGATGATGAGGGGACCCCGGGAAAGGAGAAACGAGCTTGCCCTGGGGTCATGGAGCTCACATTCCAGGGGAGGGGACAGCGGGGCCACAGGTCTGCACTCTCAAAGCTTGCCCTACCAATGCCCTCAAAGGGGGTCATGGGATCTCTGAGATCCCCAGGACTACAACAAACGTAGTCTGGAAACCTATCGCCTGTTGGCTGAAATCCTCTTTCTCTGACACGGCCAACTCCCACCTTCACAAAATGGCTCCAGTCAACCTATCCGGCTTCATCTTCCACCTTTCCAAAGACCCAGCTCTCTGCCTACAGAAACAAAAAGCCATTTTCTAAGCGGAAAACTGCATATTCAGTGTCACCCCTTCTATAAAGAAGTCCTGGTTCTTTGTGCCCAACATCTGAGTTTGTCGAACCATCTGCCCTTCCTTCTAACTCGCCATGTGTGATGGTATCTGTTTATGTGGCCTTCTCCAAGGGCCAGGCTCCTCCAGGGAAGACTGCATATCTCACCAGTAGACATACGGTGTCAATGGGTATTCACACTGGCTGAGTGGACAACTCCAGGGTGAAGTGAAACAAAGCGAAATACAAAATAATGTGGATGCCAATATGTCAAAGGTGAAACCAATCACATCCTCACGAAGGAGCTACTGAAGCATTTTCTTCTTTAAAGAATTTTTTATACCGTTATTGTGCTGCTTGGACGCACTATGAAATTGAAAATGTACGTTACCTTCAGGGAAGAACCAGTCAGCGTGCTGGATGATGGGCTCGATGACCGCAACCACGTGGACCGAGGTGGCTGCTGCCATTTCAGCCAGTGTTCTGTGAAGGACATTCACAAAGTTAGACCGCTTCCCCCAGGCAGCCTCTGATTTCTGCAGGTTGTGTCAGAGCAATTTAATTACTTTGTTATTAAAATATATATATATATATGTATTTATTTATTTTAGAGAGAGAGAGAGAGCACAAGTGGGAAGGGCAGAGGGAGAGAGAATCTCAAGCAGACTCCTTGCCAAGCATGGAGCCCAAGGCGGGGCTCGATCCCAGGACCCGGAGGTCATGACCTGAGCCAAAACCAAGAGTCCAATGCCTAACCGACTGCGCCACCCAGGTGCCCCCAATTGAATTACTTTAAAACAAGAAAATATTTAAGCACAAATGCAAAAACCGGATTCACGGGGCTCTGGCCTCAGCGTGTGGCAGTGATGCCCCAGGAGGAAAATCACCCCGACTCAGCTGTCACTCCTTAGTCTGCACCGTGTTAACAGCAAGTGAGCTGGTGAACAATGGTGTGTCCAAATGCTGATTTTAAGTTGGTTTCGAACAGATTTTATTTATTTATTTGAGAGAGAGAGAGCACATGAGTGGGGTGAGGGGCAGAGGGAGAGGGAGAAGCAGACTCCCTGCTGAGCAGGGACCCCCCCTCACCCCCACCCCCCACGTGGGACTCGATCCCAGCACCCCGGGATCATTATCTGAGCCCAAGGCCGATGCTTAAATGACTGAGCCACCCAGGCGCCCCCAAATTATCTTTTTAAATGCAGTCTGATCAACTCATTCTTCTGCTTAGAAACCTTGATGCCTCCCCAACCACTTATGACCCAAAATAAGTTCCAAAACCTCAGCGAGATATGAGGCCCTTCAGAACCTGGCTCTGGCTTCATAATCCTCTGGCACAGTCTCCTGGCCCCTGCGCTCAGGTTATACAAGACCATGTGACACCACCCCCACCTCCAAATTAGCCTTTGCTTATTTGGGTCACGCCTGCAGGGAGCTATTTATCCATCCAAGTACAACCTAAGTGCCTTTTCCTCTGCAGGGCTCTCCCGGCACTTCTCAGCCTAAGCGGTGTTCCTTCGGTAAGTACTGTGGCCATTGTACTTTATAATGTCTATAGCAGCACCCCCACGTGCACAGACATGTGTGTGGGGCTTTGTCATGGCCGTTCATCTGCCTGACTGCCCAAGGGCGGGGCCCTCTGAGGACTGTGCGCGTGACCAGCATCTGGGATGGGACCCAGCTCACAGCAGTGTTCCGAGAATGTCGGCTACGTGGAAAGACCAGGTTCAGAAGGGCAACTCTGGAAGTGCATCTTACCCGGGAACGGGGGTCTGTCCCCCGGCGGTGCAAAGGCGAGATTAAAATACCGTGATACGGGAAAAGCTCACTTACCCTTCAGTTTTGGCCCATAATAAGTTAGGGCCTAACACAATTGCAATGTTGCTGGGAGTCATTTTATTGACATCGCTGGTCTGAGCAAGCTTTGCAAGGAACTTGATTAAATACCTGGGGGAGAAAAGAGAAAGGAAAATATTTCCGGGAACAGCATCCTCCCGCCCCAGTGCTCAGCCCCAGGTTGCTCAGGTGCTAAGTGCAGAGTGGCGTTGAATCAGAATCTGGCTCAGGTTCTGTATCTTACAAAGTCCTGTGCTCTCTGTTTCAGACAACAGATTCCGTTAGGGGTTGGAAGAGGAAAACAGCTCACAAGAAAACCTCCACAATTCAATCCTTATCTGCTGTGTATTTCCAACCCATTTTTCCTTTATGCCCTATCTATCGACCCCTCAGTAAATTACAATCTGATTAACAGTGGGCTCGATATGTTTTAATACAAACATAAAAAAATACAAGCAGAGGGACATTGCTTAAAGGAAACTGTATGTGAAAATATTTTCTGTGGTAATTATAAAAATCTCCAATTTATCATATAGTTATAGTCTCTCCTATACCAGCACAGCACTATAAAAACAAAAAATTAAGAATAACTCCATTATCTATTAATAGGGTGCTGATTTAATAAAATATATCCATACAGCCATAAAAAATTGTCATGTACTGATATGGAAAAGTCTTCAGGATGTCTACTCAGCAAAGAAGGTGAAGAGAATGATGTATACAATATATACTATCATTTGGTTTCAAAATAAAAGGGAGGAGTGTGAGAGCAACAAATATATGTATCTGTGTATATGTGAGAGATTTTTCACTGGACACCTTTTGAATTCTGAACCATGGGAATGTGCTCCCTATTCAAAAAATAATTAGTCAAAATTATAAAGAGTAAAACAAACAAAATAAGAGACGAAATCCCAAATTACCAAGAACTGTAATTCTGTTTCCAACATAAGGCACGGAATAATCTAAGACTATGTGTAATTCCTAGCTGCGTGTGCTGAATGAAACAAAGAGGGATATTATAAATATTAACGTATTCGTTAAGGCAAAGTTGATATTTAAGGTGTCCAGAGGGAGTATTTAGCTTAGTTTAGTGGTAGAACCCGGGACTGAAATTAAAGGTCAGGTAACATGACAGAAATTTCACCAGTAGAATATTTGTCATTTTGGACCAAGTCCTCTTATAAAATTTTCTTTGGTTTTCAATACTTTGGGCTTCTTCTCTTTATGCTTCTTCAAAGTCACATTTTAGGTCAAAAGGAAAATGGAGGTGAAATTCTAGAAATGTATTCCCCGGTAAATTTTCTTAGAAACAGTAATTCCACAAAGCAATACCTAATCTCCAGTTCTAGACATTTCATTTAATAGGATGATTTATGCTCTATTAAAAATAAATTATATAGCATATATAAAAGCTATTGCAGAAAATAGAATTGTTGATTAATTTTTTCCTTTTACATACTGGACAATTTATTTTATTTTTTTAAATTTATTTAAGTAAGTTCTATGCCCAATGTAGGGCTTGAGCTCACAACCCTGAGATCAAGAGTTATAGGCTCTACTGACTGAGTCAGACAGGAGACCCCCATACTGGACAATTTAGACTCCAAATCCATCACGCAGTCAAGCCAACTCTCCATGAGAACTTTCTCCTAGTAGCTGCAGTGGTAAACTGACCAGGGGACTTAGCTGTCAGTGCAGACGTGATGCGGATGCATCACACGGTGATATGCGTCACAATAACATACATCGAATCCCATTCCCAGCAACCCCCAGTCCTCTCCAAAGCACTTGTTTAGTGTGCTTGGACTGAGTGACCTCTGCTCCACATGGCACCATTCTTCGTTCCAGAGTCACTGTGGCTTGATGGCGTAATTTGCAGGATGCCGGTCATACATACCTAAAGTTAACAAAATTTTGCGGTGGCAACTTTTGACATGTTCTCCATAAATCCTGAAGTTTTTTGTCTTGATCCTGTACACTGAGGGAAAAAAAAAAAACCAAACCTGTATTCATAACCCTCCATTAAGACACATCATTAGTAACCCCTGAGTTAATAACAGGCTATATTAACAGCGATGCCTTCATTGACAGAGAAAACATGGCTGGAAAACGGGATGGATTTGGAAGTAAATACATTTGGAGTCAAATACCAACTAAATCTTTCACTCTGAGCAGTGAGTTAGCCTTGCCAAGACTCGGTCTCCTGATGTGCCCGCCTGGGGATAAGAATGTTGATTCTGGGGATGCCTGGGCGGCTCAGTCAGTTAGGAGTCTGCCCTTCGGCTCAGGTCATAATCCCAGGGTCCCTGGGATCGAGTCCCGCATCGGGCTCCCTGCTCAGCGGGGAGCCTGCTTCTCCCTCTGCCTGCTGCTCCCCCTGCTTGTGCTCTCTCTCTCAGATAAATAAATAAAATCTAAAAAAAAAAAAAAAAAGTTGAGTTTGCCAAGTGATGGGGAGGTTCCAGAGGCATAACCTTAGAAACCACCTGTGCCAATAGCTGGCACAGAGGAGACAAGACACCGCTGAAAATTCTGTCTAGGAAGGTGCCTATCTCCATGAGCGGCTTGCTGGCGCCCAGATCCCTTGCTGGCCCAGCCGCAGGTGAGCTGGCCAAGCTCCCGGGCACCCAGACCCCTGAGCCTTTCCCTGCCCTTAACTCTGCTCAAAGGCTCCAGGCCCAGGAGCCCTTTCCTGTCGTGAAGCAATCGCAGGGGCTCTTCTGCTCTACGGCTTCCACATGCAAACTTCCATCGACAAAAGAGGGCCAGGTGAGGTCAGTCATCGCTGCCCGCCGGCAGGAGAGGGCATTAGCAGTTGCCCACACAGTACACCTCTGGACCTAAAACGTCCTCCACAACTGGACCCATCTGGAGTGACAGGTAGGGGGTAAACATAATTATACGTTAGAGGCCAGTCGATGTGCCACTGGGATCCTGACATTTCTCACGTAAGGAGAATCAAGACATCCATAAACAGATACCTGCTTCGAAGAGTGTATTTTCTCACTGGAACAATGCTGGGAGTCTCGGAGCTGGAGACGAATCAAGGTGCAGAAGTGGAGCAGGCTACCCAATAGAGGAGACCCTGAATGCTCTCCTACTCGACGCTGCTGGTGAGCTCTGTTTATTCAGCCCCAGAAACATGGACGCTGACAACAGGATGGGCCGCACGCAGGCTCTAAGGATATGACTGTGACTACGAGTGTACTCTGACTTTTTTTGTTTTTTTTTAAGATTTTACTTATTTGTCAGAGAGAGAGAGAGAGAGAGAGCACAGTGGGAGGAGCGGCAGGCTGATGCGAGACTCGATCCCAGAACCCCAGGATCATGACCTGAGCCGAAGGCAGACACTCAACTGACTGAGCCACCCAGGCGCCCCTTACTCTGACTTTAAAAACCTTACCAACCGGGGCAGAGCCACCTGCCACTGAGGCCTAACTGATCAGACCCCGCAGCCTGTCTGCTGGGAACGGGTGACAGGGGAAGGGTAGGAGGGGAAGGGAGATCTGTTCCTCCTCCCTTTAGGGCTGAGGAATTAGGCCCCTGCGGGAGGAAGTGAGTCAGAACCATGAGACACAAGCTAACAAGGAGGCAGCCTGGCTGGCCAGAGAGAAGCCTCTGGGACTTGGTGGACAAGGCTGCCAACAGCTCCTAGACACATGGAAGCCGGGGGTGGGCAGAAGGCGCAAAGGACAGAGACACAGTCTTTGGGGCAGAGAGGTCTGGGTCTGAATTCCCGCTCTGCCAATTACTTGCTGTTCCCTGGGCCCCGTGCCTCCCCCAGCCTCAGTTTCCATGTCTGGAAAATGAGGTTAACCACATCTGTCATTTATGTCATTGATCATGGATGATAGGAGGTAACGGGTATCAAGATTAGTATAGTGAGCACACAGTAAGCGTTAACAACCATTACTAGTACCATCAACACTGTATTACTGCACAGCTGAGTTTCCCCACGGCTCACCAGGCACATCGCCGCTGGTCAGTATGACACCTGTCCCCAGGGCCCACTACATGTCTTCATCCATATACATCATGCAAATTGAAGCCAATGCCTAAGTGCTGACTCTCCCACACTAATAATACTCAATATTCTCACCCGACACTTAAGAACTGAGGCACATATTATTTAACACGTGTGCTATTTTAATGTTATTTTATGACCCCTGAGAGTAAAATGATTCACAAAGGGGACGTAATATCCCATCATTACCTTTAACTTTGAAAACTCAGTGTTCTTTAAACTTACCTTGCAACTTGTGTCCATTCTTCATACAGATTAAAAGTCATCAAAGGTTCAGGCAGTTCCCGTAAATAGGACTTTAAAGCACCTGAAATTGTTAACACTCACTTTGAGTATGTCAAGGGGTAGGCCTGGGAATCTCAGGACATATGATTTTTTACAAATTGAAATGATCTCAATTACAACCTGCCAAGAATATCTAGAACAATCTATGAATCAGCGGGAGTGGTTAGAGCATGGAGTGTTCCTAAAACAAATTCTGGCCCTTGCAAAATAGATTGACGGGTCAGTAGAAAATAAAATTAGCTTCAAAGTCACCTTCTAATGGACATCATTTCCCCAGGCAGATCTAGACTGTGAAGGAGAAAGAAGGGAAGGAAATACAAGCAGGTCTCCAAATATCTGGGTTATAAGCTACCTTCACCTTTACTTAATAATCAGGAAAACAAAGAAAGCCCCCCAAATAGGAAATGGGGTGTATGTGTGTGTGTACCCTTATGCAGTTTTATTTGTCATTTCAGTTTGTCCAATTAAACCTATATAGGGAGACCATTTCAGTTTTCTCTGAATCTGAAAATGAACATTGGATTTTTAACTGGTGATCTGTGTGAGACAGGACCCACCCTCCTGAGGGCGACTCCTTGCAGCTCACCTGCGACAGCATGGGGGTCAGAGTAGAACTCATCCAGGTGAGAAGTAGAACAGTCTAAAGCAGCTTTCAGTTTCTTTAACTTGGAGGCCCCAGCCCCAATTCGGAAAAGGCCCTAAAGACAACAAAAAGCCATGAGCATCAGGTTCAAGTTGTGGGCTTTATGCTGAGCAGCAGTACACACCTGATGGAAGAGGCTTCCGTCCCGGCCTGACTCCCACACCCCTCATCTCTGAGGGCGGGCGACCGGAAGGACAACAGGACCAAGCACACGGCAGGGGGGCAGACAGACAGGCAGAGGGCGGTTCATTCCTGATCGCTGTGGGCTCTTGCCCTGTCCCGTTGCTAAATTATCTGTGCCTACCTATTAGAAATCAATTTAAATGCAATATTTTATACTTCCACAAGGTTGACTGCTATAGATTTTCTAAATTTAGAATTTTTTTTAAGTGGCATCTCATGAAAAATTGTTAGACTAGGTGGCTTGTCACTTTCACTGCCCTAAAAGTTACTTAGAGAAGAACACATGAAGGTCAAGCGAGAAAGGCAGGACTATGAAGACACTGGTCCAGGAGTTAAAAGATGTAGGTTTTAAGCAAAATTAACCTAGGCAGGGTTTCTCCATCTCAGTAATACTGACATTTCAGGCTAGATAATTCTTCGTTGTGGAGGCTGTCCTGTGCATTCTGAGATGTTAAGCAGCAACCCTGGTCTCTACCCACTAGAGCAGTAGCAAACCCACCTCCAAAACTGTGACAATCAAAACTGTCTCCAGACTTTGCCAAACATCTCCCGAAGGGGACAAAATTGGCCTTGGCTGAGCAGCTCTGATCTCGGCTACTAGAAGCTGGGGCCACATCAATGGGAGACAGGGCAGTGACTGGAAACAAACACAAGGAGGGCTTCTGGGCTGTTCCTTGATCTGGGTGCTGATCACACAGGTGGGTTCAGTTTGTGGAAACTTATCAAGCTGTTCACTTATGATACATACATTTTCTATGTACATTATACTTCAATAAGGTTTTTAAAAGGGGAAAAAAAAAGACTTGGCATTTGATTTTGATTGCCCCCTACCATGAACTCATTCACTTACTGATGTGAGGAGTAACAAGACCTGCTCTGCTTGGTTTGTGAGGTTTTGGGGAGTAAGGATTTTATAAAATAAGTATGTAAATACCCCCACCAAAATGCATAGTACTACCCAAATGTAAGATTCTGCTAAAGCTCACAGAAGCTCTGGTCCATTTAGTACATCTTGAAATTCAATGTCACAGGGGCGCCTGGGTGGCTCAGTCTGTTAAGCATCTGCCTTTGGCTCAGGTCATGATCCCAGGGTCCTGGGATGGAGTCCTGCATCGGGCTCCCTGCTCCATGGGGAGCCTGCTTCTCCCTCTGCCTTTGCCTCCCTCTCTCCGTTTCTCATGAATAAATAAATAAAATCTTGTAAAAAAATTTTTTTAAATGAAATTCAATGTCACAAATCACAACCAGAGTCGAAAACGAAACAATCAAGTGGGGCAAAAGAAAGTCAGAGTGTACCGCAAGCAGGAAAGGGAAATGTTCCGTGAAACTCATTTCATTCACAGTGTCTGTTCCGGGTATAGTGTGCAGGGTCCCCCTTTAAAATGTGGGTCACGGCGACCGAAGCTGGGAAGCCGTCAGTGTGCGCAGTGCAGATGGCGGCCCGCGGGGCCCCCGAGCACCGCTCACCTCCTCCTTCATGCCGGTCTCCAGGAGCAGCATGACGCAGGCTTCGATGGGGAGTGCGATCTCACGGCCGCTCCGCTTCAGGTGTTCTTCCAAAGGCGTCCCGAAGGCTGGCTTTTCCGCCCACTTATCTAGAGCAGCAAACCATCCATCAGGCACCCAGCGATCTCACAGCATCATTGGGGAGGTTTTTTCTCCCCAAACTAACAAAGGGGTTTTTTTTTTTTTTTTTTTTAGCAGACTGGCAGTTGAGGCTTTGGGAAAAGGGGAAGCATCTGTTCTTTTTGCTTTGGTTATTTACCATGTACTAGAGCAAGAGTAGGTCCCAGGCTGGGGGGTTACTTGCGGAACAGAGCCCTGAATGCCCTCCAGGGCGAGCTGCCCAGCAGAAGGCGCAATGGGGCTCCTGCACGGGACAGGTGGGCTGCCTGGCGCTACCCCGAGCATTCGTCTGAGCATACTGATTTCACTGGAAGGAAATTTACTCTTGCCATGCAAAGTGGCACCGGCCTTCTATCTCCAGGACAAGAAATAGACTCCTTCCATGTGAAAAAGGAAACAACTTCTCAAGATTTTAAACACAAGCCAAGCATCATCACACAAGACCGGAAGATGGCCGATGTGAACTCATATGAAACGCAATGTCTCCATGACATGCCGTGCTTCCGAATGCTGTTGCCCCAGCCAGCTCCTGAACGTTCTGAGTAGGAAACCACGCAGTATCTGCAGCCCCAAAGCAGCTGAGGCTGAAGCTTGTGCCAGCAATAAAGTGATCGTTTATGTTATTTTGGGGTCACATACTCTGCTTCATTCCACAAGAGATGTGAGGCAGCTTAGCAGGAGCCCACACAATTCAGCAGTGAAATGCAAACAAGAATTTCACGAATTCCATTAGAACGAGAAGTGTTTGGTTGGGTTTGAGCCACCGGTGGGTGCGTACAGATCTCGTGCTGCCTGAGATGCTCATAGACATAGAAGAGGGGAAACTGGTCAGTGGAAGCTACTCTGCTGAGCAACACTTAGGCCCTTCCAGTGATGGGAAGGGTTCATGTCCTTCTCAGCACCGTCAATGGGGTTAACGTTGTGCAGCGACTTTGCTATTCGAACCTTGGGTTCAAAGCAGGCAGGAGGACTCTAATGTCCCCCTTACCCTTGGCTACACAGAAGAGCAGGGACAGGCCCCATTGCATGATCTGCACACAGGGGAAGGAAGAGAGAACCCCCCAGGTCCATGGAGCTGGGAGCTTGTACAAGGTTAAAATCGGTGGAAAGAGCAAGTGGGGTCCAGGTCGAAGAGGGGTGAGGGCAAGGGAGGCAGGTGCCCTCCTTGTCTCTGGTCCTGACCCCGGGCCCGGCCCCGGCCCGTGTAATTCCTGGGAGCAAGAGCATCTGGGGGTCTGACCCTTCTCAGAAGACAGAACTCTGTGACAGTCCTCTCAGAGGCCAGTCCTTCCCCTGCATTTGTCCCTTTTATCTAAATGATTCTCAACACAAGCAGAAAATGGCCATGAGAACCCTCCCCTGGGGGGTACATCAGAACACTCAGGAGAGTTCTTCAAATGGCACCTGCCATCACTACCGCCACATGCCTGACCCCATGGCGGCAAGAGCCAGGCATTCTTTGAACCCCCACTGGAACTTTCTGGGAAACGCTTGACAGTGTGCCCCACCCCTGACCTTGGAGTAACATTGGCAGAGGGCGGATGTGAGAACCTGCCATCTAGACAACTCCTGAGCCAAACTGCCCAAAGGACGCTGGCGTCTCCAACAACGGACCTGCTAAGTGCCGGGCACTGCAGCAGCATCCCAAGTTCACAGAGACTCCCCACCCTTCTAACTGGGAAGAAAAGACAAGACATACACGTGAACATACAACAGTCATTAACAAACGACAAGATATGTTTGCTAAGTCGTGGCCGGAAAATGGTACAGATCAGGGTCGCAGATGCGGGTACCCACAGGGACCAAGGAGGCCCCTGAGGTGCTGAGTCAGGCTAGGGGCAAGGGGTCCACCGAAAGGTAGTCCCCTGCCCCCCCACTCCTCAGTGCCCAAAGACCTGTGTCGCCAGACTTTCGTGACTTTCAAGAGAAGCCAGAAATCAGATTGTTATGTGAAGGCGTCTGGTGTTTAAATGATGGCAAAATTTTTTGAAAAATGAGATATAGCTGTTTGCGACTTCTGGCGCAGAACACAGACACTAGGGCGACTCGGGAGACAGTGTTTGCTGTTGGCTTCAAGGAGGGGAGCTGTGGGTTCTGAATGAAACAAACCAGGAAGAAGGGCTGAGAAAAGACCAGGGATCTTGAGTCTCAGAATTTACACTTGATTCCATAGCTCTTACCCAAGGTGACGAGGGCCCAGAGAAGGTAGGACGGTGTGGGTGGAGCAGAAGGCCCAGCAGAGGGCAGAAGGGACAGACCCCAGCTACAGGGTATGGGGAAGGAGGAAGGACAAGAAGCCTCCAAGGTCAAGCCTGGATGGTTTGGAGGGAGGTGGCGTCCAGGAGACATGGAGGAAGGAGAAAAGGGCAGCTGGTTTTGGGGTAAGGGCGGCTTACTTTCTGGGATGCGTGGAGTTTCAGGGGACAGCTGGAGGAGTCTCTGAGGGAACCAGCAGTGAGGTGGTTGTGAGGGTGAAGACACGGGTGACATGGGGGCTGGCGCCAGGAGGGGGCTCTGGGGAGTGCACAGCCCTACCGATGAAAGACAATCAGGTGCAATGAGGGGCACACATTCCATCAAGGAAGAGACAGCCCAAGGGACATCAGATGCCAGGATCCGACAATTAAGAGCCTCTGGTCCACTGGGAACTGCAGTATTTTTTTTACTCTTAATAGAAGCGTGACTGGGAGCAGAAGTGAGACTGCACAGTGTGAAGGGGGGGCCGGCGGAAACAAGTCATTCAGAGAGCCTACGAGAACAGAGGAGGATGAGACTAACAGGACACCATGCTGCAGATAGGCAGGTACCAAGTCCGGTCAGCTGCCACCGTGCATGTGAGATAGGGGTGCACAGGGGCGTGGCAGCTGTGGGGTCAAGGTTTTTTTTTTTTTTTCCTACTGTAAGGATGCTCTGAGTCTTTCTGAAAACAGAAGAAAAAGGAAGAGGAAGACAGGAACTAAGACAACAGGGAGATGGGAGGACAGGCAAGAGGTGGAAGGGATTGAATCCCAAGGCTTGGCAACCTTGGAGAGAAAGATGGATCACATTTCCTTTGCTGGGTTTCTGCTCCCGCACACCTGCTTCTTGTTCCCTCCTCAGCCTCCTCCCTGCCCTGTCACTTGCTGACATACTTCTCTACGGAAAATAGCCTTGGGAAAAACATAGTTAAAAAAAAATAACTCGGGGAAAATATAGTTAAAAAAAAAAAAAGTCCACAGGGTACTTGGGTGGCTTATTCGGTTAAGCATCTGCCTTTGGCTTAGGTTTTGATCTCAGGGTCCTGGGATCGAGCCCCGCATCGGGCTCTCTGCTCCGCGGGGAGCCTGCTTCTCTTTCTCCCTCTGCCCCTCACCCCTCTCGTGCTCTCTCTCTCAAATAAATCAATAAAATCTTAAAAAAAAAAAAAAGTCCTGCTCACGAAACCCAATCTTCTCTCTTCTTTTATGCTTGTTAGTCAGCTCCAAACCAGACTTTAATTCATTCAAAGGCTAAGATGATGATGGTTCCTATTTTGTCCTACACATGGCCAGGCACACGGTATGTATCCCACAGACACACGCTCTTGGCACTTGGAACTTGCCCGGCAGGAGCCTGCCCCCTGCAAGGCTGAATGCTGGCCACAGCTTCACTCCTTTGCACTGTGACTCGACCTCGTCATCCACCAACAAGGAGATTAGATCACTTAGGAAAGCGAAGGCAGCTCATCCTAGGAAGAGTCAATCAGACGCATTTACTCAAGATGGCCGAAGATCTGCCTATGCAGGTGGGTCAAGATAGAGAATTTTCTAATTCTATCATCCAAAACCTTTCAGGCACAAAGCCAGAAGCTGTTGGGACCTCCTCAAACTGAGAGAAGTGACATTCTTGAGGATGCCAGTGTGTGTGTACACCCCCAACACACACATTCCACACACACACCTGCCGACTCGCATTCCAGATCACGGAGTCGCCACACTCAGCACCTGGCTTGATCCTCTTCAGCTCAAGACCAAAGGTTCTGCAGGGAGAAACCTAAGCTCCCAATGTGGGGTCTACAGAAGCTAAAGAGTACGATAGGGCCAAAGAAGACAGAGCAACGTCTGCCTCAACTGTGTTTGCTGATCTCTGCTGGGAGATGCTCTGACAGCAAATCAGAGAATTGGGAGTCAAAAGCTTTAATGTGCAGGTAAAACTAAGCCTCAGGAGAAAGCTCAGTGCACTCACGACTTGTGGGTGAAGTTGGCTGAGAGCCTGAGTACGGTGGGCAGAGTGTGAGTGCTAGGAACCAGAGCCTCGTAGGACCGCAAGGAAGAGGGGGAAGGAGTGGTCATGGCCTTATGATTCAGTCATGCCGACGAGGGGCTAGCAAGCATTGCCTTCTAAAATTCCTTTTCGAAGGTCCACAATATTCTCCCCAGAATGTATGCTCTTGGAATCACAGGGTCAGAATTAAACCCAAGGGACCGAGTAACTGACTTGGAAGAAGAGAAGACAGGAAGACACGTACAGGCACCAGCCCCCCTCGCCCCGCACCACCAAGGGTCCAGCTTCCTCTTCAACTGAAGATGTCAGAAGAGCTGCGAATGTCCCATTAGTAGGTTAATTTGGGTTTGGAAGAAATTAGAGAATGTGGCAAGGAAGATGAAATTACGCTGGGAGATAGTAGTCTCCTAGGCAGAGAGGCGTTATCCAGAGGAGATGCATGCAAAGGAGTCAGGGGGTAAGAAGAACAGAGGCGGAAGTGGCAGAGGCTTAGGAAAAGGGGCATCAGCCAGCACGCAGGTTACATTACCTTGATGGGCTCGCATTTCGGGAAGGGCCTTTTCTAAGACTGCTAATGCTTTTCTATGGTAATCTGCTTGGGCTTCTAATAACTGAGAACAGACCCACATTCAAAAACAAAAGTAACGTTAGCATCAGATGGACACACACACAATGGCTGAGCAAAACCAAAAATGAAATCTTTTGCAAAAAAAGCTAAAACAACTCAATTTTTACAATGCTTTCATATTTTGGCAAGGCGAGGGGCTTACCGTAACAAAGAATTTGCCATACTCCCCTTCTTTGGCCATAAAGTTGTACATATCTGCTGCAAGTTGATCCTGGTGAGTGGAAGAGAAAACAGGTCACTGAAGAAGATGGAATCTGAGAATTAATATCCATGGGCTCTTAGAGCAAAATGTCACAGAAAGAGCCACGGATTAAATGTCCATCAACTCGTGGGGCGCCTGGGTGGTTCAGTCGGTAAAGCGGCTGCCTTCAGCTCAGGTCATGATCCCGGGTCCTGGGATCGAGTCCCACATTGGGCTCCCTGCTCAGCAGGGAGTCTGCTTCTCCCTCTGCCTCTGCCCCTCCCCCATTTCATGCATGTGCACTCTCATTCTCTCTCAAAAAAAATAAAATCTTAAAAAAAATAAATGTCCATCAACTGGGATGACAAAAAAAAATAAATAAGGAAGGTTATTAGGGGAACGATGAGGAGGATATCCAAGATATATGGGTAATATTCCTTATCAAGAAGTGACGTATAGAGCATTACTTATGCTATGTTACCATCGGTGTAAAAATAGGGGAGAAAGAAATATTTTATTTTTACTGCCACATGTGTATCAAAATATATAAATAAAAACTTGAAAAATAAATTTAAAAAAAAGGAAGAGAAAAGGCCTGGCATAAGTGGAGCTCAGTAGTGTATGGAAAGACTAGAGTACTTGTGTTTTGCATTGGCTCTGGCACTGGGAAAGTAAAAACATTTCCCTGGATTTTACAAACACAGATCTGCCTTCATGAGGCTCTGAAGTTTGATGGCCTTGAGGGGCGCCTGGGTGGCTCAGTTGGTTAAGTGTCTGACTTCGGCTCAGGTCATGATCTCAGGGTCTCGGATTTGAGCCCCACATTGAGCTACCAGCTCAGTGGGGAGTCTGCTTCTCCCTCTCTCTCTGCCCCTCCTCCCTGCTCATTCTCTCTCCCTCTCTCTCTCTCTCAAATAAATAAATAAAAATCTTAAAAAAAAATGGCCTCAAACTGGTAATACTCTCTGGGGAGAATCACTCCCAATACCTAAGAGTCCCATAGACAAAGTCTCTCTTAAAATGAGCTCACAATACAAAATTGCAAAACATATGATACAAAATTGCAAAACACAGTAGGCAACGATCGATCATGAAGCAAACTCCCACCACTCTCACAGAGGAAACAGAATTACCAGACTGTTACTATAAGTATATATAAAATGATTAAATATTAAAAAAGAAATAGGCACTAGGAAAACAATAATGCACTATCAACAAAGGCTAACTTGGAAGAATTAGAACTGAAATATACAGTAAATGAAATTCAAACCTCGATGTTAGTTATGTAGTAGATGAGACCTAACTAAAGAGAAAATCAGGGAAAAAGAACGTAGATCCCTGGGAATTACCCAAAAGTTAGCCTAAAGAAAGAGACAGAAACTATTTTCACAAGTTTTCACCATCTGAAGATTTTTTTTTTTTATTTGACAGAGACACAGTGAGAGAGGGAACACAAGCAGGGGGAGTGGGAGAGGGAGAAGCAGGCCTCCCGAGGAGCAGGGAGCCCGACGCGGGGCTCCATCCCAAGACCCTGGGATCATGACCTGAGCCAAAGGCAGATGCTTAACGACTGAGCCACCCCAGGCACCCAGGTTTCACCATTTGAAATGAGAAGCTATGGCATGGAAGTTGAGAGAAGACACATCAGCCAGTTCAGACTCCTAAGGCCTCTGCCAAATTTATGTCTGATGAGTAGCCGATAGCGGAGATCCAGGTTAGACTGGATCTAAGGAAAGCTATGTAAATGACACTAGTAAAGTTACGACTCTTCTGAACAGGAATAAGCCGCTATGAAACTGATCAGAAGCATTTATCTGATATCATTTTTTTAAATACAAAGGCTATGTATGGCATGACTTTGTGAGTTCAGTTTTAATTCCTACCCACTATACACTATATTATTTTAAACAAGTCATTTTACTGCAGTTAACTGATCTTCAAGTTCACTAACTTGTTTTTTTTTTTTTAAGATTTTATTTATTTATTTGAGAGAGAGAGAATGAGAGACAGAGAGCACGAGAGGGAAGAGGGTCAGAGGGAGAAGCAGACTCCCTGCTGAGCAGGAAGCCCGACGTGGGACTCGATCCCGGGACTCCAGGATCATGACCTGAGCCGAAGGCAGTCACTTAACCAACTGAGCCACCCAGGCGCCCTCTACTTGAATTTTTTTTAAAGGATGTTTTATTCTGATGATAAAGTAATGCAGGGTCTTAGAAAATAGAGAAAGAAGAAGAAACTAAAACCCACGTTTCCTATCATTCAGAGTATTCTGATAGGACTTGTGTAAAACGCTAAATAATCTGCAGTATTTGGCCTTTCATCTGTCATTTGCAGGAACCAGACTGATGCAACCCACATATTTATCAGGTAAGTCTTATACCTTGCACAGTTCTACTTTATTTCCAGCTTCATCCATCTCTTCCTTTAGGGTATCTATTTTTGATGGAAGCCCCTGGAAGTTGGTTCCTGAAGATTTGTGAGCCTGGTTCCACCTGCAAAACATGGGGACAACCAGCATCTGAGAACCAGCTGCACATTCTCAACCTTGTAGAGTCAAGGCCCTCAGGGAGACAGACTCTTTCTCCAGAACAGATTCTACCTGGGATAGGCTGCATACCTGGGATGTCAGCCTCCCCTGAGTTTATCCTCCAGGAATGGAAGCGAGCAAAAGGAGCCAGGAGCTCCCCACCATGCCAGGACTCTCGCTCTGAGAGTCTACCACATCTTTTCTCACACACGCCCCACTGCTGGAAATCATGCCGTGAAACCCCTTTCCCGTAGTGTCCAATCGTGGTACCCTTGCCATGAAACACCCCTGCGCTTTTCTGCTTTGGCCTGGAATGTCCCTGTGCCACTGGGAGTCAGTCCCACTCGGGTTCCTATGACTCTTCCTGCTACCAGCCTCATCCGAGATTACTTCCAGCGAGTGAAACCTAGAACTTCGGTCAAGCAGCTAGCAATCCATAGCTAGGAAAGCGCTTGTAGAATTAAAAACAGTTGTTACAATTAATATTCTAAAGACCAAATTTATAGCAAATCTGAAGCCTCATGTGGAATATTTACATTCCCTTTACAGTATGTCAGAAGGACTGAAAAAAAGGTTATACATAGCAAGAGTAGGGGAGTACAGGGGGGGATAATAATCTAAAACAATTTCTGTGTGCTTTGACCTTTTCTTTGAGTATGGATTATGTCTGCTATTCTGGAAAGTTCCAGCAATGTAAATGTAAACATGGATATTGCAGAGATGAAAACCCATGCTAGCAACTCATCAAGCTTCCCAGCTGCTGCACTGCCTCCCCGACCCCCCCACCCCACCGCCAAACGGTATGCTCTGACTTCTCTCCAGTTCCTGAGGTGAGGCACTCCTCCAAAGCGGGGCTTCGGCGAGTCTGCCAAGGCTAAGCTTGGCGATGCTATGTAGTGTGGACAGAGCATGGACTTCGGAGTCGGACATGCTCGGGTTTAAAGCCTGGCTCTCCCGTCACTAGCTGTGTGACTTTGGGCAATGACTCAAGCTCTCTGTGCCTTAGTAATCTCATCTGTAGAACGAAGATAACAAACACGGTCTGCCTTGCAGAATCATCATAAGGAATCAGAGAGAGAACAAATATATATATATATGCATGCGTATGTGTGTGCAGATAATATCTGCCATATAATGGATTCCTACTTAGAAAATAAGCAGTAATTAGTCATTAGCTGTGATCAGCTTCCTCCAGGGAAGAGCCACAGGAATAAGAAAAGAAGAAATATTCCACTGTTTGTTTCTCTAATACCTGCTTTGATTGGTTAAATGAACAAGACCATGAATGCAGATCAAGAATCCGTGTTGAAATCCCCTCCAGGATACATGTACTGTAGATGTAAAATTTCTGGCAGATAAGCATCTATAATGTCACTCAACCAACTCCAGTGAGGGAGCATTCTCGGCTTCATTTAATTAACCATTAGATCACGCTTCCTTATCTGGAGCAAAAAAAAAAATCGACCTCAGGGTGGCCTCTACTCCTGGTCCTGACCCGGAGGATTCTAATCACAGGTGTACACGTGACGAGGAGACAAGACAGTGGACTTTAAGACAGGCTCCTAGCCTAGACATTTATCATCTTGGAAGCATGAAGCAAGTCATGTGGGTAACTCTGTGCAGGTTCCTCCCTGATCTATAAAAGAAGTCTCTTCTCAGGAGGAAGGGGTGTTACCTAACCCACAGACCCCTGTTCCCTCTCCAATCTTCACCGAGGGGCCTCTTCACTTAGTACCTAGCATGGAGTCTGACACAGTAAGCACCCAACTGCGATCTGTCAAAAATATGAATGAGCAAATGAATAGAAACGAATGGAGGAATCAAACAAGCTGAGGTCAATGCCTCGCACGTGGCACGCGGCAAGTGTATGGTCAGTGGTGGCAATTATTTTTGCCATGTAGCTAATTCCTAGATGTACCGTTTATGATCTCAACATTTCTTAAATCAGGACATGTCTTAACAAGGGATTTGTACATTGAATGGAGGGGTGTTTCTCCCCCGCGACCAAAAGTAGGTATTAAATCAGCGGTGCATTGATACTCAGTGGTATCTTAGAAACGAGGAAAGGCTGCATTGTAGAATTGCTACTGACGTTCTAAATCTGCAATAAAAAACACGTGGCAGGAGAAGCTCAGGAAATGATGGCTGTCTCTCCATATATTTGCCAAAGAGAAATCATCATATCCATTTCACAGGACTGCAATGAGAACAAACTGACAAAATCAATAAGTCACAGAGATGAAGAGCTCAGCATAGGCAATACGGCCAATAATATGTTAATAACACTGTACGGGGACAGACGGTGACCACACTTATTGTGATGAGCACTGAGCAACGTACAGAACTGTCGAATCAATGTTGTGCACCTGAAATTAATACAACATTGTGTGCCAATTATTCTTCAATAATTAAAAAAAAAAACCAGAGAGCTAACAACAAAGCCACCTTTTTTTTTTTTTTAATAAAGTTTTATTGGAAGACAGCCACACTTTCATCTACTTATGGTCCAGGGCTGTTCCTATGCTGCATCAGCAGAGTTGAATGGCTGTGACAGGGACCACCTGGGTTGCGATGCTGAAAATATTACTATCTGGCCCTTTACAGAAAGTTTAGCAACGTTGTGATAAAGTCTGAGAAAGGACGGGGCCAGGGCAGCTGCCTCCATATTCCCCACTCTCATCCGAGGAGAAAGCCACGTAAGTCACTGATACAAATGCCCTTGGGGACAGAGCTAGGCTGGAGTCCTGCCATGAGGCTCTGCAGACCGTCATCAGGCATCAGCCCGCAAGTCAGCAGCCCTCTGGGATGGTTACTTAGTTTCATGGGGGTTTCTCCCTCTTGAGCACAGCATTCGATTATGAAAGTATCATAACCACAGGATGTCTGGACGTGGCAGGACCCTCAGAACTGCTAAGATCAGAGACCTATTTATTCCTATGGTCCCCTATTCTAGCAACAAACACTCAGAACTATCTGCCACTGACCCCTTTCCCCTTAAAAAACTTACTTAGGTTTCTTTCTTTACCTTTTTTTTTTTTCTGCCTCCCTTTACTGCTGGTTCACTAAGAACAGGATGTTCTAACATCATCCCTATTGCCACGCTTGGGAGAATGAGCCCTAAAAAGCAGGTGTAAGTGGGCGTGACTTGGTCTATGGGTGGAGTGCATGAATCTGGAAACCTGCAACTTGTCCACGGAGGGGCCTTTCTCTCCTCTGCGTTGGGGACAAGGACGGTTGCTGGGGGAGGGACAATACTGCATTATTGGTTATTTTTGCAGCTCTACCTTACCTGGCTCTGACCGAATCCCAGTCTAACACCAATTTAGCCAGCTGTTTCCTCTGCTTCTGGATGTTGGGGATCTCCATCTACAAAGAACATACCATATATCCAACGGGATAAGCTTTGGGGTTTTAAACTTGACATTCGAAAGGGCAACATTTATTCACATTTTTCCCCCCTTAGGCATAGGATCTTGTACCCTCAACTTATTCCCCTTATTTCCAAAAAGAAGCTACGTCAAAGCCACTGGTTACTGTTAAACTTGTGGACATAAGCAAACCATTCACCACACAGCCCACACTACTCGTGGCTCTTCTGTGCCATCCGGCAAAAGCACCCACCTCTGCTATGCTGCACAGAGGCTCCACAATCTCTCTCTCAACAAAGACTTCATGCTGAGTAAGTTCTAGAGCCAGCTGATTCTCGGCATCGCCACACGTCTCCAGCAGCTTCCTTTAAAAACACAAGACACCCCACAACAAGCATATGATCATTAAATCAGGTGCCTCATTACCATACTGGGCCAGTTCTGCTCTCTACATGATGGAAACACATTAGGGGGCCGCACAGTAGAACCTCAAAAATGTTGTAAGTTTTGGGCATCACCGAAAATGTGAGTCCACAGACTTATGCTTTAAAATGAAAAAGACTGTTCATGTGCGTTACGAAATGTGTCTTATGCCTCTGTTAAATTGATAACTATCTTGCTAGGTTAATGTTTCATCTGTTGTACAAAATAGTAAATTTATATAGCCAAATAATCTGTTTTTTATTTTTTTTTAAAGCTTTTATTTATTTGAGAGAGAGAGCACGAGAGAGAGAGAGGGAACACAAGCGGGGGGGAGGGCAGAAGGAGAGGGAGAAGCAGACTCCCTGCTGAGCACGGAGCCCAACATGGGGCTCAAGCCCAGGACCCTGGGATCAGGACCTGAGCCGAAGGCAGACACTTAACCGACTGAGACACTGAGGTGCCCCTAGGAAGTGACTCTTAAAGACCGGAAGGGGCTGGTCAGAGTTTGTAAACCTGAGTCAACAGCTGGAACAGGGAAGGGGTTTGTTCTTTACACCCAAGCTCAGGGGAATAAAAACTGACCCTACCAATGACTTTTGCTCGCAGCCCTTTCAACCCATCTCTAGTCTTGCTCCTACTAAATGGAAGATTCTCTACCATCCCAATGGCCCAGACCCCACTTTTTCCCCCACAGAGACTGTGTTGTTCTCCCAGTGGATGAGCCACGCCATCACGCTCACGGTCCCTCTGTCACACAGACAGCTGCCACACACCTCGTCCGCCCACCCACTCCCACTGACCCGCAGGGCACAGGGCTCTCTCTCTAAAAGCAGCTGACTCTTACCCCAGCAGAGACTCTTCCAGTTGAGTCGATGCTTCTTGCATGTTCTGAGCGAGAGCGGTCAGAGGGAGTTTTTTCTGGAAGGCAGAAGACAGTGTGTTGATTTCACTATTATTGACACCTGCATTCTCGATGACCTGCTTCAGGTCACCCTTCAGGGATTTCTCCTCCAGGCAAACCTCACAGGTAAGAGACAGCCTGTCTGGGTTCAGATTCTGGTCTCGCAGGTAGAAGCTATGGGACCTCTGTATCTGTGTCCTCATGCCTGGATGATACAGAGGCACGGTAATAGCACAGGTGTCCTAGGGCTGCCCGTCTACGGGGATATTCAATGTCAAGTGCCCAGCACGTGGTAAGTGCTCATTAAGTGCTGGCTGCTAGTATTATTGTTGTGGTTGCTGTTAGCTGTTATTTTTAATTAATCAAGTGCATGCTGTGTCCCAGACACTGGGAACAGAAGACACAGACTTTGCTCTCTGATGATCTTAACAAATAAGTGCAATAAAATGCTCAATTTCAAAAACTTTTGCTAGAATACTCTTTTTTTGAGATTTATTTATTTTGAGAGAGAGAGAGAGTGGGGGGAGGGGCCAGAGGAAAGGGAGAGAAAGTCTTAAGCAGACTCATGCTGAGCCTGACACAAGGCTCAATCTCATGACCTTGAGATAACGACCTGAGCCAAAACCAAGAGTAGGTCATTTAACCAACTCTGCCACCCAGGCGCTCCTAGACTACTCATTCTTAAACTGGCTCTTAATTTGGCTGTAATCATAACGATATAGCTTCAGTTAAGTATCTAAAAGTATCTGGCTAAATATCTAAAAAAGTTTTTTTAAGGTATTTAAGCCCAAAGCCATGCATTTTCCTATCAGAGATTTGTTGTTCAGCTGGACATGACCATAAGGATCATCTGATTAATGTTCTACTTGTCCAGTCAAGGGACCTGAAGCCCAGGGAGGTCAGGTGGACTGGCCGGGCACCCCAGTGAGGGGCAGCAGAGCCAGACCTCCGTGCCCACGGCCTGAGCCTCAGGTCAGCACCTTTCCACCACTGGCTGATGGCTCATCTCAGAATACGGGTAGAAGGGGCCTGGAAAGTACCAGGGATTGGCGATAACACACAATCTGTTAACCAAAAAATGGGTTCAGTGCTGCAGTGCTCCACGTGGTTTTGACTCCCCAGTAGAAAGGGCCCTCGTGGCAAAGACGCAGGGTACATCCTGCTGTGGCATTGTGAAGCCTTGACCTCTCGCACGTCACCTGCCTTTCCTGCTTTCAGAGGGCTCCATGCAATACAACTTGCACCGCCTTTGCTTGCATTGTAGAGAATATCTCCGGAAGGCTATACAAGAAACTACCAGCACTGGTCATTCCAGAGAAGGCAGCAGGACGCCTGGGGAACAGGACCGGGAGAGACCTCGCTTTATGTTCTTCTGTATGTACTGGATTTTTACCATGTAAATAGGCAGCCTATTCGAAACAGTATATTGAAATGCAAAGATAAATAACAACAACTATATTTACCCATCTCTTGTCTTCTCAAGTTGTTTTCAAATAAGTAAATAACAGGCTTCACCTGCCCCACCTGCCTCTCAGTTTCTACACTTCCAGACCAGGGAGAGAGGAGAAAGCGGGCAGCATGCCTTGATCATAGTGAGGGTAATTCATTCATTTTTGTAAGGCTGCCTGCCTTTTTTTTTTTTTAAGATTTATTTATCTTATTTTAGAGAGAGTGAGCGCATGAGCAGGGGTGGGGAGGGGCAGAGGGAGAGGGAGAGAGAATCCCAAGCAGACTCTGCTGAGGGCAGAACACAACGTGGGGCCCAATCTCACGACCCTGAGACCATGACCTGAGCCAAAACCAAGAGCTGGACGCTCAGCCGACTGTGCTGGCCAGGCACCCCAGTAATGCTGCCTTTCAGAGGGAATTTAAATCTAGGATAAATGTAATAATCAGGAGAAATACACTTTGTGCAACTCTGGAGCTCTGGACAAAAAGAAATCATAAAAGAGGAGTCTCCATTGCAAGTATCATTCAAGCTCCCAGCTATAAACAGCCTTTTGGTTTCCAGGCTCTGACCCCAAAGCCACAACAATCCTGTTTCCTTATGTATACAAATAAGGATATTCCGCTTATTTAACCCTGTGCTCCTTGATGAAGATGCTATCTACCGCCGCCATGCTCCTCCACGAACACGGCTAAGCACTTCCTAGGCACGGACAGCTTTTTTTATCACCAGGGAGTCATTTAAAAAGTTCTAACGTCATAATTTATAAAATGCGTGCCAACTGCACAAAAACCAGGCACTCCAGGTCTCACATGACACACGACAGAAGCTCTGCCGTGCCCATGTCTTGGGCTGAGAAGACACCCCCCCCCAAGTCTTGCCTCTGCACACGCATGGGAGCCTCTTGTGGGGTCTTTGGGGGCTCCTCCTGTGTATGCTGGAGCCCTAGAGGCTGCCGCCATTTTCTCCTCATTGTACGACCTCTGTGGTCGCCTATCTCCTATCGTTTCTATGGTGACTGCCCCTCCTATGTGCACAGTGTAGACAGCCTCAGAGTTCTGTCTTTGGCTCTTCCGTTCCAGGTTGGAAAAGCAAGCCCCAGGCATTAGGTTTTAGAAATGAGGGCCAGGCACCTTTGCCCCCGCTGCCTAGAATATGCCCATCACCTGCCGCTCATTGCCCTCCTTTATGGCTGGACCACCACCTCCTCCAGGCAGCCTCACCTGACTACCTCTCTCCTCCCGTGATGCCCATTCTTGGTCCTCCCATGATACCCTGTGCACACTTTGTTACGCATGTCATTTTATAATGATCCCTTTGTGTGTCTCTCTCCCCAACCGGCTGTGAGCACCTTTAAGGTGGAGACTATCTCTTCTTCATTTTCTATCTCTAGCACTTGTACATAGTAGGTGTTTGATCAATACTTGTTTAATTTGTTTTTAAGGAGTATGTGGGACACCTAGGTTGTATCTTCCATCAGTCAGAGGGAGCGACCAGATATAACAACATGAGGGACAAAGGCACACAGAGGAAGCGGGAGACACCGGGACTGTCCACGGAAATGGGGTCAGATTATGAAGGGCTTGTCATGCTGAAGAGCTTGGACTCTAATCCCGCCAATGGGAAGCAGCTAGTGCCCCTCGAAGAGGCACCACGGGCATCAGGGGCCACTTCCGGTGTGAAACTATCCCTCCAGGCACCACAGAATGCTCAGCATCTCGGTCCCCTCCGTCCAAAAGCCAGTAGCGTCCCCCAGGTCCTATGGCAACCCAAAATGTCTCCACATATTTCCAAATCTCCCCATGGGTGTAATTCTGGTCCCTCTGGAGAACCACGAAGCTAAGACTTTTTTTCAGGCAGGAGGATGAGAGTATTGATGTGTATTTCAGAGCGTTCTGGTGATCTGGCTGGAGACGTGCTGGAAAAAAAGGGAACCAGAGACCGGAGCTGGAGCTCAGGAGGTGCCCACACCATCCAGGCGAGAGGTAATCAGGTTCTGCTTTAAGGTGAAGGTGGCAGAGATGGAGCAGAGGGGAGGAAGTCCAAAGATATTCCCAATCACAGGACTTGCTACTCAAGCAGCTGTGGGAGGGGTGAGGACGAAATGAAAGGGAACGTAAGGTAACCCTACAGTTTCTGGCTTGCATAATAGGGTGGGTGGAACTTAAGAGTCAATACAGAAGGAAGAACTAGTTACGCACACTAAAATAGACATCTAGGCAAGGAAGTGTTTTTGCTTGGTTGAAATGGTTTAGATGTCCCTGGCATAAACACATCAGCCAGAAGCCATGAGAACAGAGGAGGTGGCCCAAGGAATGCGGCTGGGGGACTAAGGAGGACAGAGCCTTAGGGCACCATGTGAAAAGGGTAGGTAGAACAGAAGCCGTGGCAAGAGAAGTAGAGGAGCCGTGGGGACAGCACCAGGGGACTGGGTCTGGTTCTGCGGGACCGGACCTGCAGCAGGCATTCCTGCCATCGTGGGTGCATGCAAAGTTCCACTCTTTGGTCTCTACCTAGGGCGGCCAACTAAGTATTGCACAAGAGAGGAATAACCCTGTTGTCTAGACGTCCCATAAATGTCTGTAAGGAAACATGAAAGAAGGGCGACACAGATCATCTGCATGCCGGTTCTTCCTTGTGAGACATCCGGTGACAGACAAAACACTATGGCAAATCATAGCTGCCCCTGAAACTATCTCCTTAATGGTACGTGGGCTTCCAAGGGTTAGCATGTGCTCCTGAGCTAGGATCTCGGAAACCCAAGAATGGGACGGCCCCATGAGCACTGCTGCTGGTGGCACAGGAGTCGGATGCTTTGGCCAAAGGGACACATTCGATGGTTCTCCTGGAGTTCATCCCTCTTCCTCTCTATGACAGCATCCTGATTTCTCTTAGGGATCCACCCTGGTCTCAGTAAAGCCCGTGAGCCGTAGGTAGCTCCACAGCCCACGTTCTAAGGCTGGGCCCTGATTAGCTTAACCAACCAGCACATCCCACCTCCTCACCAAGCTCGCCCCTGCCCACGGTGATCAGGGTGGAATGGGAATGTTCCGGAATGGGAAATATGGCTCAGGACGGACCAACGCAATGGAAGGTGGTTTCTACCTGCCAAGGACTTGGAAAAAGAAGATTTCCCACTCCATTAAGAAAACTACTGTAAGGCACACTTTCTATTCCTGCTGAACACGCACAAGGAAGCAAGTAGCCCATGGAAGCTGCTGGTAGCCAACCCGTGACCATGAGAGGAGCCTATTTAGGGATAAAGCAGACACTGAAGAAGGCAGAAGGGACAGAAGAAAAGAAAGTGGGGTTTGGTTACACCACTGAAATGCTAGCCCAAGCTTCACCTCAAGTCCACCCCAGCTTCTGGACATTTCAGTTAGTAAGCCAATAAATTATGTCCATTTTCTAAGTCCATTTAAGACAGGCTTTCAGCTTTTTTGCCATCAAAGCATTCCTAACAGACATCTCCATTGTCTTACCAACGACAAATGGCTCATTGAGTCTTTAAAAGCACCTGGAGAAAATTCAGTGTGAGCAGGGCTTTCAGCTCAGCGATGTCTTAAGCACAAAAGAATGTTCTGGTCAGGCAGGCGTCACAAGAGTAAATGGCAATATAAGGTACAAATCTGCAGGCAACACTGCTGCATCTGCCTGAGAAAAACCGAGGGCCTGCAGGGTGCAAAGCCTCATCGAGACACATGAACAACAGCCCTGGGTCACACCCACTACTCACGTATCTCCTCTCGGCGTCCGTCCCATGCTGGCCCTGGAAACACGCCATCAGACGCTTGTGCGAATGGTGGCACACTGACCGGACCGTGTCCAGGCGCCGCTCGATCTGACAAAACAGAGACAAACGAGCCATTTGCAGGGGCTGAAGAACACACCCAGCCGCTTCGTTTGTGGCGCTGGCCCGTGGGCAGAAAAAGCACCCCGTGGTCTAAGTGTTTAGCTCTTGGATGTACGTGGAAATGGTCCTCATTCACTTACACCAGGAGTTCTCATTATTGACATTTGGGGCCAGATAATTCGGGGGGGGGGGCTGTCCTGTGTATTATGGTGTGTTTAGCCTCATCTCTGGCCTCTCCCTACTAGATGCCAGTAGCACCCCATTCCCTGAGGTGTGACAACCGAAGATGTTGCCACACATTGTCCAACATCCCCCCCAGAGGGCAAATGCAATAGCCCCTGGTGGAGAGCCTCGACCTCCCTTACACCGAGGGGTTTCCATCTCTCAAGGGCCAAGTCTGTGCACAGGGAGGGAGCAGAGTCTGGACTAAAACCTACTATCAGAAAGAGTGGTGGCAGCCTAGTTACACACCACAGTACCAGCAAAGCCCCGGCTCCAGCCTGCAGGAGTGCAAATGAACACCTCAGGCCCAGGCCCACTGCCAAGTGGAAAAAGCCACAGGGACGTTCAGAAGCGACCTCCTGCAGACGGCGACAGCGCCTTCCGCGCACAGGACATCAGGCTGAAGGATCAAAATCAATGTTCCACAATTTCCACTCAAGGTCAGTGTCTTCAGAATGATTCCTTATTGGGTTCAGGGTGGGTTGTTGGCTTTGTTTTTGTTTTCAATAAGCCTCTAAAGCAGAAGGGACAGCCAACAGTAAGAAACACTGACTTAGGGGACCCATGCATTATGATTTAGTTTCCCAAAATATTACTGCTGGGATATGGCTGTTTATGGCAAAGAGAGCTGCTTGTCAGGGAAGGAATGCCAAAAATGTGTATTCTGATGACTCATTAAGACCGAGTGCAGGCCCTTAGGGATGCTTTCTATTTTAAAGAAAAATCAACAAATTCAAAGCAGAATGCATTTTTACCCCACAACTTTTTACCCAATGATATGGTTCTGTGCTTCTTTCTTGAAGGTCCTCACTGCCCCAGCAGCTTTTCTTCAGAGCCAAGGCCCGACCACCAGGACCCTGATCTGGCAGGCATATAAGGAGCAGATGCCCCATCACCTCCCCCTACTCTTAATAATGACCGGATTTTAAAACACTGGAAAACTAATACACATTCTTTATTTGCCATGAAAACAGGTAAAATCAAAACCAAAACAACCCCCCCCCCCAACTCCATTTCATTTTGATTCTGATTTCTACTAGAAAATTGTCAAGTCCACAGGGATGGGGACCTTGGTCTCTTTTGTTCACTGATTTCTCCCGAATGCCCGGAACACTGTCTGGTTCACGAATGGAAGGTGCTCATTTAATATTTGTTGAAAGGACAAATATGTATCAAGTTCCCGTGCAGGTATTACAAAAACAACAGTAAATAAGTTGTGCTTCTCGCCCTCCCAGGACTCATAGCCTCCCAGGGAAACTCCACATGAGCAAAATGAACTTACTTATGAGCAAAAAACAGGCAAAATAGAGCCTCTTGAACTGATCTAAGAGGCAGGAGGACACAGAGCAAGTTAAGGGAAGTTTCACACCAGAAACAAACAAATCTCCATGGCTTATCCCTCCTGCTCTCTTGTTTAACCCATTAACTCCTGCTAATAACCCTAAGGGGTGGATATAGCCATTATCCTCATTTTAGTGAAGTGGAAACTGAGGCACTTGGGTTTAGGGTGGGTTCAGTAAATCCCTGAGGCCACAGAGCAAGTCAAGGGCAGACCTGGGTAGGGAGGCTCCAGACTCCATACTTTTACCCATTACTCTCCTTCTTTATAGCCAAAGAAGGGGAAAACATCTGTAGCAGTGATGGCAGATGTGGAGTAAGTATCTGTGTCATGAAATGAGGTGTTCCTAGAAACCGGCGAACTCTTGGGGCCCCAGTGGATGCTTGTCCCTCAAGCGCAGACAGTTGCCGCCTGCCTTCCACAGGAACTCTGCTGTCCTCAAACTGCCTGCGAGGCCCTCTGGCCGCATCTTGGGGCTTCAGGGATTCAATGAGATCGTGTCTCTTACTGGTGTGGGATGTGGGAGACAGAACACGGACGTGAAAACCCAGTCGAGTTAAAGGTTAACTAAGACCAAACAACATTGCTGGAAGTCTGAAAATGAAGTTGAAATACGTGGTAAAAGCCAGTGAGGAAATATTATTAAGAATATGATTGTCTAATACATCTAGGGGGAAAAAAAGCCTAAGCCTTAATAAAGACTTCTGGTCCTTTAAAAAAAAGGGGGCTCTTAAAATCTTGTACCTGCGGCTGGCTGTCATAATCAAGAGGTCTGTTCTGACACGGGGTGGTACAAGTAACATTCTTCTAAACTATGCTGGCTCCTTCTCTCCCTAGGGAGAGCCGGCGGGGGGGTCACCTGGGAGCGGATCTTTGGTCTTCAGGGGTCAAGTGCACACACCTGCTGTGGGTTATGGAAATGACACGAGCAACGAGGCCTCAGAGAAACCTCCGTGCAGGAGGGGCTCTGTCCTTCCCGGTGCGCTCTGGGGTGGGCGGGGACGCAGGGGGGCTGAGGTTGAGCGAAGGCATGTGTACAAAGGGTCCAGGCCTTCTGGGAGACACTCCCAGCCCCAAAGTTTGGGAAGCCTGTTGACAGAGAAGTGCAGTGGCCCTGGCTGAGGTCCCCACAGGAAACACCCCTCCCTACGGAGAGGAAAAGACATCCAGGTGGACGACAGGCCACCTCAGGGCCTCAGAGTGGTTCCACCAGATCTGGTCCCTGTCACCGAGACTCTAAGTCCCTGGGGACCCAGCTCAGCCCAGAACTGGAGAACAATAGCGTGAGAGGGAAGGAGAAGTGGAAACTCTAGGTTGGAGCCAGTGGGGCCCTCTGCTGCCACTGGCCGGGCCCGTGCCATCAGGGACGCCATCCCAGCAGTGAACGACAGTCCCTCCACCTGCCCGGGACCCATGACCAGACCGCAGTGCCAGTGGACCGGCCAGGCTAGACAGGCCCCTCCCCAGCCCCCACCCCAACACCTGGCACTTGAAAGAAGGACTAGCCCCATCTGAACTTCATAACATGACACCAAAGTTTCAGATCCCCTTTTTATCACCATACAACCCAACTGCTTTTCATTCCTGCTCAGAACCACGTTGATCAATTTTATTCTGTTTCAGAGAATACATACACACATCCACTTCAGTTCTCACCTATGAGGTTTGGTTTGGTTTGGTTTGGTTTGGTTTTCCTCTTTAAACAAAGCACTTGAAAAAGATTTTTATTTTGTTACCTGTAACAGATCTTCACTGAGGACTTCTGTTTTCTCGGCTCTGTGGGGGAGGGAATCAAAAGTTCAGAGTTAGGAATCCAGAAATGCAAAGCAACTCAGGAAATTCAATAATTCTCATCCCGGAGTTTAAAACAAAATGGGCAGGAATGAATGATAACGTGGGCAGAAACTCCACCGATGTTGACATCAGAGGGCTGCTTAAGCAAAACCAAAGAAAAACCAAAGTTTGCAGAGAACCAGTTGGTCCCTGACTTGGGCTATACAGAATCCCTGGCAGGAGGGTGGGAGGGGGGTAGTGTGCCGACGTAAAATGCCAGTTTCCGGGACTCATCACTATTCTAATTCAGCAGGTCCGGAGCAAGATCCTACTGCGTTCTGAAGAAGCCCCTCCTGCCCAGAATTCCATGGCCCCAGACCCACAGACCACCCTTTAAGAAAAGCCTGCTTAGAGAATCTTAAACTTCATTTCTTAAAATGATCATTTCTGAGTTGCATGGCCGCATTGAAACAGGTTTGTCACAAATGCAGGACACGATACATATTCAAGACAGTAACAACTGAGCATTCCCTCCTTCAGGTATCTCATCCTGCCCTTAATAAGAAACAAAGTATTTTCACAGCTTTCCCCCACCTATGCCTTCCAACCACCATTAACTACATTAACTCCGCAGACCTTTCCAGAAAGCCGACCTGCCGCCCAACAATCAGCGCAGGAGCCTTCCGAGCTGCCTGAGCCTCTGGTGCCAGATCACAGTACTTTGTTAAGAAGACTTTCTTCTGCAGTCCCAAAGGGCAGCATCGCTGCCATACATAAACCCAAAATGACGGCAACCGAGGTGCCATATTGGGACTTCCAGTTTAAACAGTGATTGAAGCCAAGTCAATGAACATCCCTAACCCAACTCCCATTGAAATGAACAAGGAAACTTTTTTAAAAAAAGATCTTATTTATTTATTTGAGAAAGAGAATGAGAGATAGAGAGAGCATGAGAGGGGGGAGGGTCAGAGGGAGAAGTAGACTCCCTGCTAAGCGGGAAGCCTGATGCGGGACTCGATCCTGGGACTCCAGGATCATGACCTGAGCCGAAGGCAGTCACTTAACCAACTGAGCCACCCAGGCGCCCTGAACAAGGAAACTTTTAAAGGGAAAAGGAAAAGTCTGTTTCAGCCTTGAACGTTGGGGGAGTTGGGGAAAGGGGAAGACCATCAATGAACCAGAATTTTGAAGCCTTTTAAATAAGATTTATTGCAGAATGGAAGGCTGCATGATCTTGCCCATGAACGAATCTAATGCAAGAGAAGGAAAAGCTGTTTGGCCAGAGAGTGGATGGGACCCCCTTAGGATGAGCTCAAAATACTGCTAAGCTCAGAGCAGTGCCAGCCAGCTGCCTGAGGTGCACACCTCCAGCCCACACTTGGGCGATGGCAGGTCAAGTAAAAGCTGGCCTTGTCACAAAGGATTCCAAGACCAGTTGTCACTGCAGTGTCCTTGTTAGCATAGAGATGCCAATGGCAATGGCTCACACACCAATTTCTGCAGGCAACCAGAACTCTGATACCTCCCAGGTCCACCGGAGCAGAGCCTGGAGATGAGTTCAGGGCCCCAGCTTTCAGAGGAGGCCAACTTTCAACTCACGAACAAGTTCTGCAAGCAGCGGGCCAAAATATGCCATCCCAGCCCTTGCTTGGCATGCGTGGTGCCAGGCATTGCGGAAGCGCCAAACTAAGTAGTCATGCCAGTTAGGGAAGTGGAGCAGGGCCCCAGCTGACTAGGAGCTCAAGCAACCAGCCTCATAAAGAACCCTGACGGCCAGCCTCGCAGGGACATACCTGGCATGAGACCTCCATAGCTTCACCGTGACTCCTGCTCACCGATAGCCTTGTCCCTCCTCTAGCAACATAGCACCGCTAGATTGTGTCACTTCGGCCTCACCTTCTCTGGCCAGGGCCCTGTATACCTGGGACAGAACTCTGAAATCTCTTCCTTCTGTAAGTATGAGTATACACAGATAAAAGTCCCCAAGGCCTACTGAAACATTCAGAGTTCAAAAGAAGAGATTCAGAGCCAATAAGTCCTTTGATGAGACAAAATTATTTTAAAAATATAACAGAAGAGAAAAACTTAATTTTTAAAATCCCAATGTGGGCCAATAGCAGGTATGAGAAAGTTACTAATAGCTGAGAACCAACTGTGTGCATCTTTTCCCAGCAACTTGTTCAGTGACCTCACACTGGTAATTTGAAATGAAAAATCAAATACAATACAAACAAATGCAAACAATACAAATTAGGGCTTTTTTTTCGGGGAGGGGGTCTGAACATTTATGAACACGGCACTGCAACAGCCATAAAGAAAATAAAGCAAATGTAAGAACAAATTAAGTATTAACTTCAGGAAAAAACAAAAAGTCCATTAGAAAGAGTCATAGTACACTACTATGCTTAGCTGCAAATAATTTATTGGATAATAATGTAAACATCAGACAGAAATATATCCAAAAATTGTAATATAAGTGTATTGGAAGGATAAGGGAGCAAAAGCAGAGAAAAAAGTCACACAAGTGCACGAAACCCTCATTCATCATGACAGGAAGCCAATAAGTAATAACTAAAACTTGATAACTTGAAGGATAGAAGTTTACATATTATCTATAAATGTAGATATGAGTGATAAACAAATTTGAAAATAGTTGCCTCTGGGGTTGGGGAATCGCACCTCGGAGAGTGGGCATAGTAGAGAACCCACTGTGAGAAATCTTTTACTATTACTTAACTTTTTCAACTACATGTATACATAGTTTCAAATTTTAAAAAACAAGTATGTTACATTTTTCAGTGACATGCTTGATATGGTTTCAAGTGATGCGTAACTTCAAGTGAAGCATAACTCTGACTTAAAACAATGGGTCCAACTGCCAATCTGCACAAAAGTATAACAGAACACATAACTCAGAGTATCCAGAATACAAAACAAATTTGTATAATTTACTGTCCTTCTTTCAAATTAACAACTAAACCCTTTGCTTTAAATTTACAGGTACTCTACCTAAAAAGCTATCTGGAGATGGAGATATATATGGAACATATTATATGAAAATGTTAACATATTGCTTAAAAATAAATTCAACCTATGTTTCCTGCCTTTGTGGACAATCTACATTACATTGATAAAATTAATTTTATTTTTTAAAGTTTTTTAAAGATTTATTTATTTGAGAGAGAGAGAGAGAGAGAGAGAGAGCATGAGCAGGGGGGGAAGGGCAGAGGGAGAGGGAGAAGCGGACTCCCCACTGAGCAGGGAGCCCCATGCAGGACTCGATCCCAAGACCCTGGGATCAGGACCTGAGTCAAAGGTAGACGCTTAACAGACTGAGCCACCCAGGCGCTCCGATAAAATTAATTTTAGAGAGAAATCTAATATATCTTTTTTTCAAAAGACTTGTTTATTTATTTGAGAGAGACAGCACACATGCACACATGCACATGCAGGGGGAGGGGCAGAGGGAGGAGAGCACCTCAAGCTGACTCCCCACTGGGCGCAGGGCTCCATCTCATGACCCTGAGATCATGACCTGAGCCAAATCAAGAGTTGATGTTTAACCAACTAAGCCATGCAGGCACCCCCACAATGTATCTTTTTAACCAGTTTTTAAAAATTCACCAAAATTATTAAAAATTACCTATTATCAGGAACAATTACTTCACTGAGCTTTACCAGCCCTACTGAGCTATAATTGACAAATAAAACTATATTTATATATGTTATATATATATTTAAAGTGTATAATGTGATAATTCAGTTTGTATATATATTGTGAAATGATTACCCTAATCAGGTTAATCACCTTCCACAGTTCCCTTTTTTCTAACAGTAGTTGTGAGAATGCTTAAGATCTACTCTCTTAGCAAATTTCAAGTATATAATATAGTATTATTATAATCCCCAGAGCCTAGATTTCCTTCTTTCTCAGGGCTCAATAATATTCTAGTGTGTGTGTGTGATGTATGTGTATATATATATCTATATGTATCACACTCACACTCCCCACATATTCTTTATCCATTCATCCATCAACCAACACTTAGGTTGTTTCCTTATCTTAGTTATTGTGAATAAGGCTGTAATGAATACAGGAGTTCAGATATTTTTGAGATACTGATTTCATTTTCTTCAGATATATATTCAGCAAGTGGGATTGCTAGATCATATGGTAGCTCTATTTTTTAATTTTCTGTGGAACCTCTATACTGTTTTCCATAATGACTATGTTCTCACCAAAGTATACATGGGTCCCAATTTCTCCATATTGTCACCAACATTTGCTATCTCTTGCCTCTTTCATGATAGCCATTCTTACAGGTGTGAGGTGATAACTCATTATGGTTTTGATTTGCATTTCCCTGATTATTAGTGATGTTGAGCACCTATTCATATACCTGTTGGCCACATGAACATCTTCTTTGGAAAAATGTCTAATTAGGTCTTTTGCCCATTTTTAAACCAGGTTATTCACTTTTTACCATTGAGTTGTATGAATTCATTATGTATTTTGGATATTAGCTCTGTATTTACAATTTGCAAATATTTTTTCCCATTCTGTATGTAGGTTGCTTTTTCATTTTGATTGCCTCTTTGCTGTGCAGAAGCTTTTTAGTTTGATGTAGATGACAGTGCCTTTGGGGTCATATACAAAAAATCACTGCCAAGATGGATGTCAAGGAAGTTCTTCCCTATATTTTCTTCTAAGAGATTTATGTTTCCAAGTATTACATTTAAGTCTTTAATCCATTTTGAGTTAAGTTTTTAGACTGGTACAAGGTAGGGGTCCGGTTTGCCTTCTTTTCCCAACACAATCCATTAAGAGACTGTCCTCTCCCCATTGTGCATTCTTGGTGCCCTTGCCAAAGATTAGATGACTATTTATATATGGATTTATTTCTGGGCTCTCAAATCTTCCATTGATTTATGTATTCTTTTATACCAATACCATACTGTTTTGATTACGACAGCTCTGTAACATACAGTGGACCCTTGAACAACACAGGAGTTAGATGTGTCGACCCCTGTACAGTCAAAAATCGGCATATAAATTTTAACTCCCCGAAAGCTTAACTACTGATAGCCCTACTGTTGACCAGAAGCCTCACTGATTAACATATTTTATGTCACCTGCATCATTCACTGTATTCTTAGAATAAATCAAGTTAGAGAAAAGAAAATGTTATTAAGCAACTTGTAAGAAAGAGAGAATACATTTACTGTACTGGACTGTAAAAAATCTGTATGTAAGCTATTCAAACCCATGTTGTTTGTTCAAGGGTCAAGTAGTTTGGAATCAGGAAGTGTGATGGCTCCAGCCTCGTTCTTTTTGCTCAGGATTATTTTGGCAATTCGGGCCTATTGTGGTCGCATCTGGATTTTAGAAGTATTTTTCTCTTTCTGTGAAAAATGCCACTGGAATTTTGATAGGAACTGTACTGAAAGTGTAGACAGCTCTGGGTAGTATGGACATTTTAATAATAGTAAATCTTGCAATCCATGAACACAGGATATCTAGGAAAGATTACTTTTAAGTGACAAAACATGATTCTGGAATGCAATATACAAATTGGGGATGGCTCCTTCACACAAAGATACCCCCACTGGCCTATGCTCTCCCTACCTTAATTTTAGGGAACCACCACTGTCCCTACCTCCAATATGTGGTCCAAATGACTTGATCTTCCTCATCCCCACTGTGACTGGTCCAAGGCTCAGCCCTTTGTATGCTGAACTGTCTCGAAGTGTTCATCTTCACCAGAGACCTGGAATTTTTACCCAAGGAAAGTCCAGCCATTATTCAGAATACTGGCCAAGGTGCCTATTCAAAGGATTTATATTAACCACTTGGTTTTTACTGCGATGTGATTTTTTTTTAAAAAGATTTTATTTATTTATTTACTTGAGAGAGAGAAAGTGAGAGAGCACAAGCAGGGGGAACAGGCAAAGGAAGAAGCAGGCTCTCTGCTGAGCAAGGAGCCCGATGCGAGACTTGATCCCAGGACCCTGGGATCGTGCCTTAAGCCGAAGGCAGACGCGTAACCCACTGAGCCACCCAGGCACCCCATCTGAGATGTGATTTTTGATCAGATTTTAAAAATTCATTAATAAAGCAAAGAGGGGGAGCAACATATTAAACTTTTCAAGGCACCTTACAAAGTGATTCAAAAATTTAAAAAATAATACTTGCTAAATCAGATTGTTTTAAATGTGACATTTTGCTACGCGGACCTAAACTTTTTGTATATGGGCCTTTTTTCTGCTTTGTCAGAGCCCTCTTTGTGTCCAGTGTTCTGTGCTTGAAAACACACTCAAATGTTTCCTGTCTGTAACTGGGAAAACAATACGAAGCAGGAAAGCACTTCCCGCCTGCCATTTTACTCTGAGGTTTGTTTTTTCCTATGCATACCACCGTGTAATTTCACGAGTCATTCAGACAAGGCTTATAGCAGCCCAGAGTTTTAATTTCTTTATTACTTTTTGGGAAAGCATAACCTTCTTTCCTCATAATTCCCAAAGCCTCACAGCAGCAGGGCTGTGCAGACCTTGATGTCCACCGCCCCCCCTCCCCCCTTGACTGGTTGTGGTAACCTCGCACCTTGCAGCTGTGGCTAACAGGAGTCTCAATCAGCTCCCCTCCCAGGCCACGAGAAAACGGAAATGCTTCCAATCTGAAGTAGTTCAGCTCACCATAAAAGACAGAGATGCTTCAACTAGGACATAGGGTCAAAGGAGAATCTCCAATTGGCCCGATAATTTCTAACTCTGATCGCAAACCGATTTCTGGAGAGGTTTCTGCCATGGCTACACTCAAACGCCCGACACCATGATTGTGAACTGCCGTCCTGTTTCCCAGGATAC